TTTCCTTTCCCTTTTTTACTCACTCACGCCTCTCCCTTCCCTCTCCCTCTCGTTTGCTTTGTCATTTTTTCGGTTATTCATGATTTCATGCAACAAACATTTGTGTGCCAGAAATTGATTAAATGCTGGGGATAAAGGAAAGACAAAAAATTTCTGTGCCCAGCCGCTTAAGTTCTAGTAGAGAAAGGCAACAGCCAATCAACGGCTTTCGAAAGTTGTTTTTTTTTTTTTACCCCCACTCACAGTTGCAATACGTTTTAGATCGCTTCCCGGTACATGCACGTATAAACACGCCCAGATGTAACACGGAGCTGCGAGTTTGAGTTTCGGAAACGACGCCCCTGCAGACCGTGCGCCCCGCAAAAGCTGAGCCAACACCCGCGACTCAGCAAAGCTCGCTTTGTGACTGAGACTGTCTGCAGGGCTGGAGAACGCCCCCTTGACGCTTGTGCGCCGGGGCAGGCGCGGCAAGGAAACGTGGAGTCCCTTTCAACCCAGCCCGCGCCCTTGGTTTTCTCTTCTTGTACAGGTTTTTGTAGGGGTGGCCGGCCAGCTCAGCCGGTTAGAGCGTCGTCGTCCGCGTAGGCCAACGCTGGCCGTTCGATCCCCGGCCAGAGCACGTCCAAGAATCAGCCAATGAGTGCTTAAATAGTGGAACAACAAATCGATTGGGTTTTTTTTTCTCTCTCTCTCAAATCAATTTATTTTTTTAAAAAGTATAGCGCTGCTTTGGATACAAGCAATTTGGGCGCCAGCTGACTTCCGAGGGCAGCTGCATTGACAAAGGGAAGGTCTCTATCACAAGCGCTCAATGCAGTTTGAAAATTCGGATCGGCTCTGTCCAGGAGAGCGGGTCGGTGACTGTCTACAAACCAAACGAACTGAATCAGCGCCTTCTGGCTTTGAATGCAGACATATTTGAAGCGCACCATAAGATAAAAAGCTTTTTTATTTTTCAAAAAGTATTGGGAAAGATGCATTGAATTACCAGCATTTCCATTTCTCCCATCGTTTCTGAGCTTGCTGGGTTAAAGAAATTATCTCCGAGTGAAGGAGGACCAGGCCAGATCAGTTCCTACATGATAAGTCTCGATGAAGCCCCTCCAGGGACCACCAAGGTGACAGGGTCTCAGGACCAAGTGAGAATGCTTGTACCAGAGAGGACAGGCCCCCAGAGCTGAGGAGGACCTAATCTAGGGGGAGAGCAATAAAGATATTGTTAACGAGAGGTTATTATACAACTTTTCTTATCCTCACCTGAGGACATGCGTATTGATTTTAGAGAGAGGGAAGAGAGGGGGAATGAGAAGGAGAGAAATATCCATTGGTCCGGCCTGGGGATCCAACCTTCAACCTGACCAGGAATCCAAACTGTGACCTTTCAGTTTACAGAAAGACACTCCAGCCAAATGAGCCACGCTGGCCAGGGCTTATTATTCAATGTTTAAAACGTTTAAAAATCTTGGTAAGATATACACGATGTTACCACCTCAGCTGTTGTTACCAGCATACAGTTCAGTGGTGGTCGGGTGTGGGACCACCGGCCTCTGGAGCTCTTCTCATCCTTCAGTGAAACTGAAACTGTCCCCGGTAAACGGTCACGCCCCAGTCCCGCCCCTGGCCCTGGCAGCCACGACTCCACTTTCTGTTTCTACGATTTGGCTGGTCTGGGAACCTCATGTGACAGTCATTGTACAGTATGTGTCCTTTCGTTTCTGGCTTATTTCATCGAGCTTAATGTCCTCGAGGCTCATCCACGTGGCGCATGTGCCAGAATCTCCCCCCTTTTCAAGGCTGAATGAGCTATATGTGTATCACACGCTGTTGATCCGTTCACCCATCAATAGACACCTACCTTTTGGCTGTTGTGAATAATGCTGCAAGGAACGTGGGTGTACAAATACCTCGTCAGGACCCTGCTTTTGATTATTTCGGGCATATACCCAGGAGTGGAGTTGCCAGATCATGTGATAACTCTATTTTTAATTTGGGGGGACTGTCATAGTGTCCCCCACAGGACCTGCACCATCCCCACTAACAACGATGAGCCTTCCAACTGCAACACATCCTCCTCCAATCACGTGGTTTTGTTCTTTATTCTATTAATATGCTATGTTCCATTAATTCATTCTTTGATGACAAGCCAACTTTGCCTTCCTGGGATAAGTCACACTCCATCATGTTGTATGATCCTTTTTATATGTTGCTGGGTTTAATGTGCTAATAGTTTCTGAGGGTTTTGTGTGTATGTTCATACAGATACTCATGTATTTTTAAAGGGATGACGGTGGGTGTCAAATTGGCAGGGTACTCGGGTTCCGTTGAACACATTTAAAAGAGTGATATAACAGCTTATTTCTAAATGTCAATATGTTCAATATGCCAGAAATGATGTCTTTTACAAGTATTCAAATCCGAGATGAAAATTTCAGGTGTAACTTTTAAAAGTTACATCTGAAACATGAAAGGAGGCATATCATCAGTAAAACTTACTTTGGGAAGTATGACCATGAATATGGCACAAAGTCACTGGGGCAGTCACTTTAAGGAGCCATTGGGAAGTTCTGGGCACAAGAGGAATGCGATCTTTCGGTGTTTTACAAGCCTCGTTGGGGACAAGGGTGGACGCCGACCAGGGGGAGGCCGCTGCTGGAAGTCCAGCTTATAGGGGGGGCTTGGAGCAGAGCACTAGCAGTGGGAGTGGGGGGAGTAATAACGTTTTCAGTCTGTGTTAAGGTAGAGCCAAGAGCATTCACTAACTAACCCGATATACTGTGAGAGAGAGAGAATCAGTAACAACCTCAGGTACAGGGTTTGGGGCTGAAGCTACGGCACCGGATACCCCTCTTTGAAGTCGGTCTTCATCACGTCGCGGATGTTTTAAGAATCTCCTGTTTTTACACCAAACTCTACCCTTACTGAGGGCGAGAGTGAAAGACTTGCATTCTCAGCTCCTGTCCCCGTGCCTGGACATGCAGTCCTCAAATACTTGTTGACTGCCTTTTCCTCGCCCAACCTCCTTGATAGGATGTTCCACAAGTCTATCTCCTTTGGTCTCCCCATTTCTTCAGGTTCCAAATTTCTTCTGATCATATGCACGGCCCTATTTCCCTCTCCTTCTCCTTTACCACCCCCAACCCCCATGACCCACATGCATAGATGCCAGTGACCGGTGAATTACAAGCATCCCTTCAACGGTATGCTTGACACTGATTTGCACACAGTTGAAAGGAAAAGAAGGAATGCGAGAACCAGGTGGTGGTCCTTATTCTTCCCTCTGCTGTCCAAGGCTCTTGCTGAAATTTGCACCCCCCCTTTTTTGTTGCATCAGGCAAACAAAAGCCCAGCACTAAGCAGAACTGTCTCTTTTGAAGGCAAGTTAACAAAGCTCCCACTTATCACAATGCTCTGCCGTGTTCTATTCATCAGTCTGTCTCATTCCTCACCTCTCCGGGAGATAGCCCGGGAGAGCCCATCCTGTAACAGATGTTCACTGGCCTCTCTCTAAGCCCTGCTGGGTGCCAAAGGGAAATAAATGTGAGGCATGTAACTTGGAGCGGGAGGAATGTAATGCCGAGCAAGAAGTCAGGGGGACACTTTACTTGTCGCTTAAATCCAGGCTACGCCAATAACTGCAAGACCTGGGCAAACTCATTTTTTCTTTTCTCAGTTGTACAGCGAGCCTGCTAATAGCTACTTTGATAGCTTTCAAACTTTCAAACTGTCTTTTTTTTTTTTTTACCAGAACACCTCAGTTAGGTGTACGCTTTACATTACAAGCAGAAAGGACACGCACACAATCAATAAAAAAGATGATGAAACAGTACTTATGCTGACTTCCCGTGATGCTGATGTTTTTTATTTTGCTTTAGTTCATTAATAAATAAATAACGGTCATGGTTTCTTAGATAGATTTCACAACCCTCTCACGGGTTTTTGACCCACAGTTTAAAAAACATCTCCACAGAGGATTCAATGGGATAATAAACGTATGTAAAAAGGGTTTGGACCCCGAGTGAGGAAGGCTCCCTAAATGGGAACTTTCCAAAGTGCTGCTTGGAACTTTCTTAGCCCTCACCTTGGTGTGGCTGGTTTCTTCTCATACAGCTTGTGGTTCTCAGCTAAATTGCCCAACGCCCCTGAGCTCTGGCTCCTGCTACCCTCCTTTAGCTCGCAGTCCTATTACCCTGTCCCCACCTTCTTAGAACCACTGTCCTTATCTGAACAAGTAGAATAACTCGCTCCATGTTTATAGCCTGCTGTTAACCCTTCCACCTTGACCCTCCCACTTTGAGGACAGGAATCCTGCTGGTCTTGCTCCTATCTAAATCCCTGACTCAGCGCCTACCGCTATTTATGCAGTAAATAGTTGTTGCATGAATGAATGACCACAGGGAAATAAGCAAGAGAGTATGTTAATCCAATGTAAATGTAGTCGATGCCTTACAGACTTTTTGAGAATTCTAGGTATTGGAGTGTTTCGTTTGCCTCCTTTATGATTTATGACAGTTTTCGTGAGAAAGGGAGACAAATTTGCTTAAGGGCTTGGATATCCAGGAAAGAGGTTCTATGAGTAAGGAATCCCATTATTTTGGGTTCTAGCTAGTTTTGTACATATTTCCCCTTGAGTCTTAGGAGGAGGACAAACTCGTTGATTGCTGTATCCCTTGTCAGCGACCAGAGCGCTGCCCTTTGGAAGGTAGTGGGCGCTCAATAAATATTTGAGGAATAAAAGAATCAAGCCTAAAACTAGGAGAGTCTGAATGAGCCAACTGACTCGGATAGGCTGCAGTTCCTCCCCGGCGCAGGCGGCGGCGCTAGCGCCCTATCAGCCGGGATGCCGGCGGTTCTTGGCGCCTCCGGCTGACCGTCCAACGCTGGGCCCCGAGGCCAGTGCAAGAGTTAGCCAATAGTAAGCCGCCTTAGTTGTGAGGTCGGACAAAGGTGCCCTATGAACGTAGCGGACCTAGATAAGGGGGCGGTGCGACGGAAAGGGGCAGTGAGGAGCGGTTAGGGGCGGGAGTTGGCGCGGCGGGCCGGGCGGAGGCCGCGGAGCTGCGATGCGGACGGGAGCGCGTCCGTGACCGGAGCTGCCGGCCGACATGAACTCGCTGGAGCAGGCAGAAGGTAGGTGAGCCGCCCGGGCGTGTCCCGGGCTCATCCCGGAAGCCGGAGGGGCCGGAGTAGCGGAGACCCCGTCCCGGGAACTGGAGGCCGCGTTGGGTGGGTGGGCGGACGTGGTCTGGATCTTGGGGAGGCGTGGGGTCCGACCCAGGAGCCTGGGGGCAGGCGGACCGGGCCGGACGCTGGTGGTGGCGCGCGTGGTCTCTGCGGACCCCGCGGGCGTTGTGTCCGCTGCCCCAGTCCCTCCGGTTTCTACCTTGGAGTTCTTCTTAGGGCTCTTTTTTACTCTTTAGTAAACATCAGCACTTCGTGCGCAGCAGCATGTTAATTCGCTTTACTCCGATAACCCGTGAGCTGTTTCCCTAGTTCCTGCCGTGGTTTCTGGGAACTACCGGGGTATGAGATAGCCTCTTACCTCCTTTTTTTAAAGTTTAAAAACTGCTCGTTCGCAGGGGCACCTTGGACGCCCCTGAGTTTCCGAAGGCGTCTGGGCGTGGGTAGAGCCAACAGTCCCCTCTCACCCCGTCGGAGGGAGAAGGGGGACTGTCTTTTCCCAACGACGCGTTAGCGGGTCAGATGGCCAGCAAGACCAGGCGGAAACCGTAGCCATTCATTAAGTATTGATCTTACCGGAATCGGGTAACCGCATGCCAGTAGACCTCGAAGACCTGGATATTAGGTGATATGTTGTTCTAATAGGAAGTTCTGGGTTCCGACAGAATTAAAACTCGACCTGATTTTGATCCTTTTATTTGCAACCCCCGAATTTCTAGCTTTTGGCTCCGGCTTGAGGCTGCTGCTGCTTTTCCACAAACCATTTTACGGGAAGCTTCTAAAAGTGAACCAGCCAGTTTCCTTATATGTGAAATTGGAATTAAAGAAACCTAATGTTTTTGTCAAGTGCTTAAAGCTGTCATAGTAAACGAAGTTAGCAGTGCAGTGATCCATGTAAGTTGGTGTGTGCGACCTGAAGCAGTTAGAGTGTCTTACATTTCATCTTCATAGATTTACACAAGTGGGAGTTGCTAATGAAGAGAATGAAATCTTTTTACCTAGATCTCAAGGCTTTCGAGAGGAGACTCACTGAATACATTCATTGTTTGCAACCTGCCACCGGACGTTGGAGAAGTAAGTGCCTGACTATTTCTTAAGGGGAAATGAATGCCAGTTGATACTTTTACCCCTGTGTGGCAATAATGCTTTGCTTTTATAGAACAAATACTTGAATAACAAATACTGGCTTTAGTAAACCATAGATTTCCTTTTGTTTTGACAGTTTTTAAATTTAACTTTGGAAACAATGCATTATAAAGAAATTTAAAAGAAAAAACTGGCAACTTGAAAAAACAATCTTTGTGGTTGAATTTTTATTTTTCCATTAACATAGATACACTTTTTGTTTATTAAATACTACTGATTTGATAACACGTTAAAATTTTCGGTAGCCCATTTAGTTTTACAATTTGGCTACAACCTATTGAAATAAAGTTTTGTTAAAAAAAAAACACATGTAACGTTCAGGGTTGGGCCAAAGTAGGTTCATGTGCAAGAAACAGTTTATCCTGGTGTTACTATTTGTTGATTAGTGTATTACCTTTCATATGAACAGCTGTAAACCCACTTTGGCCCCACCCTTTCAAAGGTTATAAAATTACTCTTGGTTGATTTAAATTATGACGTTTTGCTAACTTTTATTGAGCCCAGTCTTGGTTTCTTGGGTGTTTATTGTTGAATCTAAGTCCTGCTGAGAGAGAACAGCGTATACTAGGGACAGACTTTTATTACGAGTGTAACTGAACTTATGAGGCCAAAAGACTGTGAGGGAAGTTAGGGGTCTTTTTATGCTACGATTTCTCCTGTGATTTTATTAGATCTGTCTGCAGAGATTGAATCATATGCCGTGAGCATTCTGATTGGCCAGAGTTCCCAAGTAGTGGTTTTCGCAGGCTCTCTGGTGCACTTGAGAGATCCTCACTGCTACTTGAGAATCTTTTCAAATGTATACGTCGCTGTCCCGTCTTAGGAAGTGTAAGACTGCTACTACTTACGAAGTAGTAACCCTGCTTTCTTTTTCCTGGTTGGTGGGCTCGGGCTTCCGTGTAAATGGCATCAGCGTGGCTGGTGCGTGGGTATGAAAGTAGGGGTGTGAGGTCCCTCTAGTGTCTCAGCTTGTGTTTTATTTTTAAAAAACTTGTAGTACAGTATTTTTTTTCTTGCTGGAAATACAGAATTACAGCAAATTGAGTTTAATCTGTTCTGAGGTGAAAATACAATTTTGAAATTTTAAATACCTAAAATGAGATTGTTTTTGCCTGTGATTTGCCTCTTCTAGAAGTAAACCACCAGGAATTCTAGATAATTAAGGTTTTACTAGATTTCTGTTGCTCTTTGAAGCTTGATCTCTGAGTTTTAAAACTCTGTGCATCCCCAAACTGTGTGTACCCCAAAACTGTGTGCGCCCCAGAACTGTGCGCCCATCTGGAAGACAGCAGCTGCCTTCCTCGGAATGTGAACTCGGTCCTAGTGCCTTCTTACTATTTTTTAGTAAAATCATTTGCTTTTAAGTGTTGCTTACAATGTGTTCAGAACTTTTAAAAGTGATTCTACCTCAGTGTGGAGGAGAGAGACCATATCTAAGATTTGCTATCAGTAGTTTCCTCCTGACCTTCCTTGAGGTCCACCCCCCCCCCCCCCAACACTGACCTCTGTCTCAGTGAAGGGGGCAGCTGTCTTCCAGGCAGACCCTTCCGGCAGAATGCTCAGGGCACGCATAAAGGGGCTTTGTTTGGTGTGTTTACATTGGAAAGTGGAAGGCTGCATTTTTTTACACTTGAGTTTATAAAATGCAGAATCAGCGCAAAGCACATCGCAAGTTGCTAACAGAGACTGTTAAAGTTTTACCATCTTAGTTCTTACTGCTTTTAATTTCTTTAACTTTCATAAGTTCTGAGTAAGCATTACAGAGACCAGTATCATCCTCAATTATTGAGGTTCACAAATTTCAGGAGAATTCCTTGAGGTTCACAGCAAGACCCCTAATTCCCGAGTCGAGTGCATTTTCCATTTAATAAAGCGCTGCTTCCTTTGGCTGCCATTTATTAGTAACTGGTGGTAGCAGGGTCGAATATTAAGAGCTTATTCCTTACTAATTTTGTGTTTATTTTTCATCAGTGCTTCTTATAGTGGTATCTGTGTGTACAGCTACTGGTGCCTGGAACTGGTTAATAGACCCCGAGACGCAAAAGGTAGAGATTTTGATTTAAAGTTTTTGATAGATTAAATGAGATACTGGCTATAGCAGTGCTTTGCTCACTATAAAACACTGTTCAGATGCTGCTACCTGTTACTGCTAATAGTGATGTTACTCATCGTGTTAAAAGCATGCCTTACATTAACTTGCCTAAGAAAAACTGGCTGGCTACTGTGAATTGTAAGTGTCCTTACCGGGGAAAAGGCCTGAGAAACACTACCGCACTCCCATCACTTGTCTTCCACGTCCGCACTGGCGTGCGGCTCTCCCGTGTCTCGTTTGTCCACATCTGTACGTTTCAGGGTGAAAGTTGTCTTGGAGCTGCTTTGTTCACTTAGTGTCCTCGGTGCCTGCTTTGAAAAATCAGCAAACAGCACTTTCTCCTGGGAGCCCTCTTTGCTAATCTCTTTCCTCATCCCGTAAAGCATTCGAAATGACTTTGCAGGAAACACATATGATAAGGTAGCAAAATATAAATGTGATAAAAAGTCCAGCCTAGGAAAAACCAGTCCGAGTGGCAGGTTAAAACGGGGAGTGCCGGCCACGTGGGCCACACGGGCTCCAAGACTAAGGTGCGGCTTGGGCTCTGAGTGGCCTGGTCCGTCGGGTCACAGCCAGCGCCACGGTTTGCGTGGTCTCTGAAGGGAACACGTGTGTAAGTTTCTCAAGCTCAAAAGCTTTTATTTCCTCAGCATTTACCTCTAAAAAAACCTTTCCTGTCTGAAGTTAATATACGAAACAGTGAGCGATCTCCCACTGGGCACGGTCCGGAATATCCCTACACCGAACGCAGTAATGCTCGGAGTTCACGATGTGGTTTCTGGAAGCAGCCTCTGCTGAAAGCTGATGGCTTGTTTCCCCCTTCTGCCTTTTTCTCCTCGCCTGGGTCTTCATTTTCGCACTCTGGGTTTTTTATTAGAGAAGCAGCAGTTTCCAGTTTCTCGGTGAAGTTTTTCCCCCGGTGCAGATTTATTTAGGTAATCATGATATGATTGTCACAAGTCTGAATCCCACCCCCTCGTGAACCAGTGTTAGGCGAGACCGCTCCAGTAGCTTTCTTCATGGCCTTTCCCGGTGTATGGGGAAAACCCCGAGAGGAAGCATTGTCAGCAGCCTGCGTGGCCGCTTGGACGGCCAGGGGTGGGTTTAGCTCGCAGTCTCCCAACTCGATTTGCGGGGCTGGGGTGGTGGGATCTCGAGTTGATAGAGGGGCTTTGGGGCAGATGGGACACTCTCCTGTGTGTTCATTTGTACAAACCTGATCGTGAGGCTGCGACTGGCGCTCATCTTCAGGGGGGAATGAAGGAACCCGGCAAGAAGATTGAAAAAGGTCTGTCTTGGGAAATGAATCTGACTTCTAATTGGGAAAAATATAAGCTGATTTCAGCTGGTTGAGATCTTAATAAAACACAGAATTAAATGTAATTTGAAACAGGCCCAAAACTCTGTAGTTAATGTGGTTTTCTAAATTAGGAGAGAATGTAACGGCTAGCCTAAGGGTTGGCTCTGTATGTCTTAGTGTTTAATAACCTCCAACCCGACAGGAGTTTTAAACAGCAGTGGTGTCTGTAGCAGGAGACGCAAACGCCAAAGCCAGTGGCTAGCTGGAGCCGCCCCAGGAGAGTGGGGCACGGCACCCCGGCAGCACCTGAAGGCCTGGGCTGCGGGGGACGGCTGTCGGTGGTTGCCGTGGAGGACCGCGGGCTGGCGCCGGCTGACCTGATGAGACTCGGAGCGTGAAGCTGTGTGTGCTGGGGCTGGGCGGGCTGCCTGGAAGAGCTGGTCCTTGGCGGTGACAGTGTTTTCGGAGATTTTTTAAAGAGACGTGTGCGGGCCTTGTGGCGTGACAGGGCTGCAGAGGCCCTCGGCTGGATCCCGCCGCTCCTGCTTTCTAGGCGCCGGGTTTCTTTTCCCAGACTCCACATGTGTGTCTTCTCCACTTCACTCTCCTTTCCTGTCCCCCGTGGTCTGGCCTCAGTGCCTGCTCTTGTTCCGACCCTTGGCCTGCACCTGGGACGCCTATCCCTCTACAGACTCTTAGTGTTTGTTCTGTGTTCCTGGTTCCTGTCGTCACCGGTTGTCTTGGACCGGATCCGCCCCATTTCTCCTGAACTGCAGTTCTGTACGGGTAGCTACTAGTCTTTTCTCCCTGCTCACCTGTCCTGCAGTCCTCGGAGTCTCAGCGGCTTCCACACCAGACTCATGATTGCTTCTGCGAGAGGGAGGGCGGTGCTGGAGTCCAGTCTCGTGAGGACGTGTGGGCAGTAGTCAGGTGGAGAGCAGGGGGGAACTCGGCAGCGCCTTTGCCTGCTCAGCAGGGAATGTCGGTGGGGCCGGGTTATGCAGGGCAGGGCTGGCCCGGCTCTCCTACATGAGCTTTTCAACAGAGGGCAACCCGGTCCTGTCTGGCCTGTGTTCTCATGGAGGGTCAGAGGCCTCATTGTCATTCGTATGTGCTTACCGAGCCGCCGTGTTCGCCACGTGCCGTTCTGGTGCTGGGAAAGCCGTGCACGAGACAGCGTCCCTGCTGTCGGGGGACCGGCCTCCACTGGGAGGGCTCCGTGAGTGTTCTCGGTGGGGCGGGTTTGATTGCAGGGGTGAGTTAGTGGTGGTTCAGGTGTTTGGAATGAATGGAGGGAATGTTGCTGTATAGTTTTGCTACGTTGAAGATATAGAATGAATATTACATGTTTTTATAGCCTAGCAAAACGGAGAAATCGCAGTATTAAACTCTTCAGATGCTGATACTTTAGGTGGTTAGCACGTAGTGGAGAGGCGGGACTTTGTACTGTTTTAAGGTGCTAATGTTTTTGCATTTCACGGTCTTTCACAGGTGTCCTTCCTCACGTCGCTATGGAATCACCCGTTTTTCACCATCAGCTGCATCACCCTGATAGGCCTGTTCTTTGCCGGCATACACAAGCGGGTCGTGGCCCCGTCCATGTATCCTTTCCACGGGGTCACTCTCTGGGCGCAGTGAAAGTGCCTTCTCAGTGAGGCGGGTGGGGCTGAGAGCATGTTCCCGAAACGGCAGATTTCCCTTGACCATGTGCGCCCAGCATAGCCGCCCGGTGTCGGACCGTGCTGGCGGAGTACAACATGTCCTGTGACGACGTGAGTGTCCTCTTCCCTTGAGAACCGCAGGCGCGCGTGGGAGAGCGCTGAGCGGTTGGGGCCCGAGTGAGCCGGGCGTGTTCTTAACAGCAATCGTCTCCGTGGAACTGACCACTGGGTTATTCCTCCTCACACTGATCCGAGACACGCTGCTTTCTGTATTTTAACATCTCCGAAATGGGGTGCATCTCAGTCGGTGGTGTCTCACAGCTAAACTGGTAGTGTTGGCAGTTTAATTTTTCTCCACGGCCCAAAATCGTGGCGCATCTCACAGTGGACGCCGTCTCAGGTTCAGGAGACGCCGTGGTCGTCATTGGTGGCTCAGTGGTGGTTGGTTTTGTGAACTGCTGTGATTTTTCTGATGGTCTGTAAACAGGGCCTTAGATAGAGTCCTGAGTTAGCGCAGACCGTGGACATGTGGACCCGCTGTGTGGGTGTGTTCTAAAAGCATTGCTACTCTCAACTTAAGAGACTATTAATCAAGTGATACGCACCCAGTATAGGAAATGAGAGTAAAGGGGAAAAGTATTAGGGCAGAAAGACAACTGGGTCAGGGGAAGAGACTACAAGCAGTTTGATCTTTTAACAGTAGAGAATAAGGGTGGCGTTTCAAGTCAAAACAGAAGAAAATAGGCTATTTAGTAGTGTTGAGACAGTTGGCTCTTTGGAAAAATGAAATTTTAAACAGTATTTTTTGGAGAGGAGAGAAACATCGATGCCATTGGCTGCCCCTCGTACATGCCCTGACTGGGAATCGAACCAGCGACCTTTGGCTTTGTGGGAGGACACCCACCCAGCTGAGCCACGCTGGTCAGGGCCAGATTTGGAAAACAAGAGTTTCCATCTCTCATCTTTCGGGACTGACCTGAAATGAAGAGAATACTCATTGCCGATCACTTGATTATTTGGGCATAATTCATGTTCCAAGGGGAATAGATAGTGTAAACCAGAAGTGATGGTTTGGTGTGGGATCAGTACAAACGTATCCTAAAAAAAAAAAGAATTTCCATCTCTGTCTCACGTCAATTAAAATGAAATTCCAACTAAGGCCTTAAAAATATTTTAAAAACATCCACACGGCCTCCCCACCCCCAAAAGGCTGCTGGTTCAATTCCCAGTCAGGACACGAATCCCAGTTGTGGGTTCAGCACCCAGCCCGGGCGTGTACGGAGGTAGGGTCATTACTTCAGCGTCCTCTGTACAAGTGACAGCCAGGAAACAGCTCCTGGGTCTCCCCGCTGGGCGTGGGAAAGTGGGCCACACCCTAGTCCCACTGCGGGAATCCGGAGGTTCGCCGGTAAGTGTTGGGGAGACGTGGGGGTCTCCCAGACACAGTGTCCGGTGTGAACTGTGAGTCCCCCAATAGCATGCCCAGTGTGGAACCATTTCTTAAAAATTTAGTTATCAAAATTCCCAAATGGGAAATAGTAGCATGTAGTGCACCCCCACGTACCCCCAGCCAGTGCCAGCAATCCGGTGGTGGCCGTCGTGCGCCCTGGGCCCCTTGCTGGTGGCTCTGAAACAAATTCTGAGTGATGGATTTCACCTTCAGACACTTCAGCACGTTTGAAACAGCAGATTCTTACCGTTTATACGTGTGAGTCTAACCCATAAAACAGTCTGGAATAATTCATGCTGGAACTGCTGCTTCTGTAAGAAGGCTACAGGGTGAGGTGGGTGGGAGGATGACTTCAGCTCACCTGTGTTTGAATTGGACGTGATGAGGTTACAGAAACTCCTGGCTTGTGTAATTTTTCATGGAGTTAAGACATCAAATCCGTGGACGAACAAAAAGGGGCGGGCGTACCCATGCAGCGGAGCACTGAGCGTGTTCTGTAAAAGGCAGGGCAGCTGAGGCCCTGCGGCTTTGGTAACACGCTGAGTGGAAGCAGCAGGCACAGGGGAGCAGCCTGATGCCGCTCGGGCCCAGGGCCCCGCGGGGCATCGGAGACCGATGGGGATAATCCAGCAGCCGTGCCTGGGTGGCGCAGGGTGCCACGCAGGGAAGCCTTGGGGAGGGCGTGGGTGGTGGCTTCACAGTGCGCAGGCGTCAGAACCCGGAGCGCTGCACACAGGACTGGGCATCTCACTGTCTGTAAACTCACTGCAGTAGGGCAGTGTGGAAATCAGTGCCAGCGTTTTATCGAGATACCAAGGAAGTGAACCCTGGCTGGTATAGCTCAGTGGGTTGAGTGCAGGCTGCAAACCAAAGGGTCGCTAGTTCGATTCCCAGTCAGGCGCATGCCTGGGTTGCAGGCCAGGTCCCCACTAGGGGGTGTGCAAAAGGCAACCACACATTGATGTTTCTCTCTCTCTGTCCCTCCCTTCCCCCTGTCTCTGAAAATAAACTATTTTTAAAAAGAGTTGCTTTAAAAAAAAGATACCAAGGAATTATCAGTAATTAAATGACCAAAAATTAAATGGAAGTGAGAATCCAGAGATAACTAGAATCCTGGCGACACTTCTGACTTGAGGGTAGTAATAAAATCTGTTCACTAACTGCCTAGAACCTTATCAACCAAAGATGATCACCAGGCTTTAGATTTTGTTACGTATCCACACAAATGGAATTGTGTGGATTGTGCGGTGGTTTGTTTGTTTTTAATGAACTTGATGGTTGGCCCTGCAGAAGAGCTGCCCTCATTTCCACTCTGCACCGGCAGCGGGCAGTGCCTTCCGTCCAGCCACTGGCTCCCACTGTGCCTGAGGGAGTTAAAATTACTGTGGGAGAGGTGGGAACGCTTTCCCAGATACGTAGTTGTACTCTGGGTTCATGCACTCCATTTGCTAAGGAGCCTAAATTGGTCTGTGCGGGCTGGGCTTTTCCCTACCCAGCGGACCGATGGGCCAATTTTAAGGAAGCCAGTATGGTGTCGAAGTTTATAATAAAGGCTTTGGAAGAATACTCCACACAAAGAAAACTGAAATATGACTTAATTGCTTGACCTTGAGTAAACAGGGAGATCCCCTTGCCCTCTGAGATGTATAGATAATGGTGGTGTTTCTCATCGAACTGTGTGTTAACAACTCTCATCTTTTATTTTTAGACGGGAAAGCTGATTTTGAAACCTAGGCCTCACGTGCAGTGACAGTCGCCCATCGTCATCGCGGGCCCCGGAGCGGCCTCTGCGCAGAGGCGAGGCAGCGAGCAGCCACAGGTCCCCTTCCGCAGTCGGATGTGTGGCAGTCACCGCAGCAGCCGACGAGAAGCGTGCAATATTCCCCAGGTGGCCTGGCGCTGAGGCCGCGGTGTCAGTGCGTCGGTGCCCCGGTCGCCGGAGTGTCAGTGTTAGTGTCACTTTAGTGCTTCAGACCCCGCAGAGCCTGTTGGAGATGAAGTGCGTCTGTGTGTTACTAAGGGAAACCTAGAAACAGAACCTCACCAGTTTTTATGATGTATTTTTGCAAACTACTGTAAATAGCAGATTGATGCCAGTGTCAAAGAGGAGCGTGCATTGGGCCCGGTCCTCCTGCACCAGTGTCTCCAGCTCGCCCCCCGGCCCTTTAAAACCAGCCGTCCAGTAGCCGCGCCTTCTGCCCCCCCCTCCCCCTCGCCTTGGGCCTCGGTGTAGGAGCCACTGCGGGAGCGGAGGCTGGGGACACTCACCTCGGAGTGTCGTTAGAAGTCAGGGGTGTTCGAGGGACAGTTTCTGTTGAACCAGATGGTGAACTTCAGCCACTTGGTGATATTTTCCTGTTCATTCTCATTTAATGCTAAATTGACTTTGTATTTTTTAATAATTTTAAGGACACTCCAGAGGCTTCTGAATATACCGATTAGTTATAAATTATGTACTGTCCAGGAATTTGGTAGTCACTGTTTTAGATCATTGGATCTTGCGTTGTGGTTGATGGGCTGTCACACTGGTGCTGAGCCACGCGCCGTCCACGTGCCCATCACGGGGTGTGGGGTCACGGGGTGTGGGAGCGGCGCCTCGAGCCAGCCCGCCGTCCTCGCTGTTCAGGGCGTGTGGCTGACTGACAGGTGTGCGTCTTAGCCACGCGTGCTCCAGCAGCCCTGGTATTTAAACTCTGGGGATTGCTGTGGGTGTTTTAAAGAGCTGGAGGTGCCTTTTACCTGTTCATTAGAAGATTTTGAAAATGTTTAAATGATTTCAAGAGCAGTCTTTTAAATTTCATTTGACAGAAGGCTGAAAATTCAATAACAGACAAAAACTTTTTAACTAGGCTACCATGTTCATCTTGGCTTTCACGTGTATAAAATTTTATTCTTTGAACTGTAGCAATAAAACCCTCTGCTCCTAAGAAGTCTTAAGAGGGTATTCTATATATTCTGTGTTGTTTTATTTTCTGTAAATTTTGTAGGTAAATATGTGCATAAAATAAATACTTTATATATAATTAGCGATTGGGCTTTTCCTTTGTTGTTTCTTTTAATTTTTTTTCCGTGTGATTTAAAAAATTTTTTATTTTATTAATTATGCCTTTACAGTTCTATTCCCCCCTTCATTCCCCTCCACCCTGCACCCCTCCACCCCTATTATTCCCCCCTTTAGTTTATGACCATGTGTCTCAAGTTCTTTAGATTCTATATTTCCCCATACTATTCTTGCCCTCCCCCTATCTATTTTCTACCTACCGTCTCTGCTACTTACTCTCTGTACCTTCTCCCTCCTTCTCCCACTCCCCTGTTGCTAACCCTCCATGAGATCTTCATTTCTATGGTTCTGCTCTTGATCTAGCTGTCCTTTTAGCTTGCTTTTGTTTTAGGTGTGGTTGTTAAAAACTGTGAGTTTGCTGTTCTTTCACTGTTCATCTTTTTTATCTTCTCTTTCTTAGATAAGTCCCTTTAACATTTCATATAATAAGGGCTTGGTGATGATGAACTCCTTGAATTTGATCTTATCTGAGAAGCACTTTATCTGCCCTTCCATTCTAAATGAAAGTTTTGCTGGATAGAGCAATTTGGTTGTAGGTCTTTGGATTTCATGACTTGGAATACTTCTTTCCAGCATCTTCTTGCCTGTAAAGTCTCTTTTGAGAAATCAGCTGATAGTCTGATGGGAACTCCTTTGTAGGTGACAGTCCCCTTAGCTCTTGCTGCTTCTAGGATTCTCTCTTTCATTTTAATCTTGGCTAATACAATTATGACATGCCTTGGTGTGTTCCTTGTTGGGTCCAACTTCTTTGGGACTCTCTGAGCTTCCTGGATTTCCTGGAAGTCTATTTCCTTTGCCAGATTGGGGAAATTCTCCTTTATTATTTGTTCAAATAAATGTTCCACTGGTGGCTGTTCTTCTTCCCTTTCTGGTACCCCTATAATTCAGATGTTGGAGCGTTTAAAGATGTTCTGGAGGTTCCTAAGCCTCTCCTCATTTTTTTGAATTTTTGTTTCTTCATCCTTTTCTGTTTGGTCATTTTTTTCCTCTTTCTGGTCCACTCCTTTGATTTGAGTCCCAGTTTCCTTTTCATTACTATTGGTTTCGTGTGCATTGCCATTCATTTCAATTAGTTTAGCCTTCATACGTTCCTCTAATTTGTGACTAAAATCAACCAGTTCTGTGAGCATCCTGATCACCAGTGTTTTGAACTGTGCATCTGAAAGTTTTGCTATTTCTTCGTCACTTAGATTTATGGGCTCTGGGGCTTTGAGATCTTCTTGAGCCATGTTTGGTCTGTTCACGCCCGTTAAGTAAGAGGAGCGGAGCCTTAGGTGCGGGGCCTCCAGGGCGGGGTCACTGAGTTGTGATGCTGTATGTGGTGGTGGGGTCAGAGTGGGGAAGTGGCGTCCCCCTCGTCTGCTTCCCACTGCTGGGTGAGGAAAGAAGCCTTAGGTGTTCACCATGGCAGGGTCACTCAGGTAGCTGGGTTGTGATGCTGTATGTGGGGGCAGGGTCAGAGCCGGGAAATGGCGGCTGTCTCTGCTGCCTCCCGTCGCTGGGACCCGCTAGGTCCCGTCTCACTGCCCACTCCCTCGCTGGTCTATCTGGGCAGAATGCGCAGTCCACAGTCAACCTGCCACCCTGAGCCCTCGCTGGATCCTCTGGTTGCTCACTGGGTCACTCACTGGGTCTGCCCAGCAACCTCAAGCCTGGGATCCACGCGCCTGAGTCGGTCTGACCGAGTTTTCCTATGCAACCCCGCTCCGCCAGCTGCTGGTTTCGCCCCTCTTACCGGTCAGGCTGAAGAATTCGTTATCAGACTTACAAAAAGTTCAATTTTCTGTGTTCTGGCTGTGTTTTCTGTTGCTAATATTTTGTTGTCTCTAAACTTGGTTGTGTGAGGAAGCACGGCGCCTCCACCTATGCCTCTATCTTGGCGGAAGTCTTCTGAGCTGTCTGTTTTTTAAATTTTTATGAAAAATATTTATTTTTAGAGGGGAAAGGAAGGAAAAAGGGAGAGAAACGTCGATGGGTTGCCTCTCAGGGACCTGGCCTGCAACCCAAGCACGTGCCCTGACTGGGAATCACACCGGTGACTCTGGTTTGTAGGATGATGCCCATCCTACTGGGCTACAGCATCAGGGCTTTCCTTGTTTTCTGGTGTCTGTGACTCTGAAGACGGTCACAGACGTACAGCGTGTCTCACACACAGGCCAGCTCCAGGTAAGATGCCCTGCTGTGACTGCCCAGGAGAGCACACTCCTAGTAGCTCACATACACCCCGGCCGTCAGGCTCTGCCTTTGACCGTTTCTTAGTCCTCGCTGTCTAATAATATTTGGTTCCTAATCAAGAAATGCAGGTTTTCTGCCCTGGCTGGTGTGGCTCAGTGGATTGAGTGCAGGCTGCAAACCAAAGGGTCACTGGTTTGATTCCCAGTCAGGGCACATGCCTGGGTTGCAGGACAGGTCCCCAGTAGGGGGTGTGCGAGAGGCAACCACACACTGATGTTTCTCCTTCTCCCTTCTCTAAAAATAAATATTTTTTAAAAAAGAAAAATGCAGGTTTCCTGGAAGTGCTTTACAAAGTTGCTTTGCCAGCTTCCTCTAAGAGTGTAAAGCTGACAATGGATTTGATAGGTCCTTAGACCTTTTTGGAATTGTCAGCTACTCACCTAACATTGGGTATTTTAAAGCTTCTCCCCTAGAAACACAGGTCTGTCTGCATAAGCACACTTGGTGTACATTTGGAAAGAATTTCATAGATTTCCTGGTGCCAGACTGTTTGGAGTCTGTTGGCTCCAAGAAAAATTTTTGTACAGGTTTTTCATAGCTTTTCTGTTAGTAGAACAATCCATTTTCCAAGAATACCTTTGCTCTGTTTGAAATAGGCCCAAGGGTCATTGCCAAGTTAGCTTCTCCCCACCGCCCTCACCCTCTCATACCCGCTTCCAGACTGTTAGGACTCCAGGCCTCTAATTTTACAAGTGGGCCAGACAGTCTCAGGTTTTCAGAGGGACTTGCGGTCCCCATGACTTGTTAAAGACAGAAGCAGACAGAACCCCAGTCTCTGGACTCAGCTGGAAAGGATGTCTGTGTATGTCAATTCATGAGCTGTCGTAACGTGCTTGGGGACACAGACTCTGCCAGACTGCTCTTGAATCTCAGATCTGTCGCATGCGGCAAGGTCAATTCCATAACCTTGGTTTCCTCATTTGTAAATTGGGCATAAGGATAGTCTCCCAAGTAGATAATACACGGAGTGGGGCAGAAGGAGGTTTACCATTGTACACGGAACACTATTCTTGTATTATTATTTATTACTGTATTATTTTTCATGCAAACAACTGTAAACCCACTTTTGCCCCACCCTATATAGGAGTTGTCAATGTTCCAGGTTTATATTGAGTATTAAATGTTAATTCAGGTAAAGTGCTTGGCCACAGGATCGTTGCTCAGTAAATCTATTAAACCAAATCCTAAAAGGTAAAAAGTGGATCTCACCACTACACCCTTACCCAATGTCAACATCTCCATTGAAATAACTAGGAGGACATTCTGTGTATCTTCAGGACTAAGCAAACTTTTAAGTAGTGTTTAAGTGCCAAAGAGGAAGGATATTTGGTGTCTAATGACTGAAGAGTCTCAGATGGTTCTAGGTGTCTTCCTGTTCTCAGACACCGTCCCTGAAAGCTTGAAGGTTCTTGTGCTGCTTGGAGGGTTCTCCCTAACCTGGCTCTTGACCAGGGTTTCATAGAGATGGAGCCGAGCCAGTCTCTGCCGTCAGCAACCCCGAAGCGGCTCTTACTTCCTGTTGAAACCATAGAAATATGAGTCTCATCCATTCCTTCTGACGCGCTTTCTGAATGCTTTCACTTTGAGTGTAATTTCTACCTTTCCCCTTCTTTTTCCACTAAAAATAGGAAGTGTGTCTTGTCTGTGTCAAAGAATGAACATTTTTAAAAACCGATTTTTTAGCATTTGACTGATGGTTTGCTTTGCAAAAATTCCCTCTTGGTAAAGACAATTTGTAGGAAAAAGGGTTGTTAGATGATCCTTGCTTGACAGGATTTTAAACAATTACTGATTAAGGATAATTATTAGATTGTTAAAAGGTCATTGGGGTCATTGGGGTCCTCCTAAGCTGACATCTTAATGGCTGGGGTGGGAGGGAGTGGTGGGGGGAATGGAGACAACTGTACGTGAACAGCAATAAAAAAATGAAAAAATAGTAGTAAGTTAAAAAAAAACGTTGGTCCCAGGAAGAGCTCTTAATAAAGGTCATCATTCATTTTTGCAGAAATGTTACTTTTTACAGGAAAGGGTGACTCGTGAAAACAAAGCACAAAATTCTCCCCTGGCTAAGGTTTTGAGCGATACTTTTCATCCTCATCCTTAGGGGAGAGAGAGAGCAGCAATCTCTTTTTCTCTCACCCTGTTCTGTCTGGATGCCCTGTTCTCTCCGCCTCATGTGATCTCTAGCTGCAGGAGAAACTGCAATCTATTTGGGCCAGTGTTAGGAATACAGTGATGGGGAGAAGGGCGCAGTCCGTGCCCACAGGGCTTAGTGTCAGCGCAGGTAGCAAGCAGACGGGCACGAGTGCTGTGCATAACTACACACGGACGCAGTTCAGGTGTAACTGCAATTCTGGGCTGTGCTTTGAAGCAAGGAAACAGGACGTGCTCTCTCAAGGAAGGTCCGTCTCAGACGTAAAAATCTAGGAAGGAATGAAGAAGTGACGCTTGCAGAAGACTGCCTTCATCGGGATAGGGGCGGGGACTGGGGCTTCTTCAGAGCCAGGACGCAGACAAGAGTTCAGCCCTCTGGAGAGTGGCTGACAGGCAGAGGACAAGGTGGGCTGAAGCTGCAGGCTGGGGGGAGACCCTGTAGCCAGCGGAGATTTTGATCTTGATCTTAAGGAAAGGGAAAGCCATTGAAAGGTTTTTTTTGTTTGTTTTTTTTTTTAAGATTTTATTTATCTGTAGAGGGGAAGGGAAGGGGAGAGAGAGAGAAACATCAATGTATGGTTGCCTTCGTGCATCCCCTGCTGGGAACCGGCCTGCAACCCGGTATGTGCCCTGACTGGGAATCAAACCGCGATTGTCTGGTTTGCAGGCCCGCACTCAATCCACTGAGCTACACCAGCCGCGGCCCATTGAAAGGTTTTAAGCAAAGTGAATCAAAATAATGCACACATCAGAGGGACATTTGTTTTGAAAAAAATAACCAGCTGCTCCATAGATAGGGTAGAAAGGGACCAGAAGGCCACTTGGAGACCCGAGAAGGCTTGGGCTAGGGAGGCAGCAGATGACAGGCCAGATCTAGGAAGTAAAGCCTACCAACATATATTTGGGGCTCCAAGTTTTGTACCCAAAGTAGGTCTTCAGTAGGCTTGAGCTTCTGTACAAGTTTAGCTATACCCCTGTGATTGTTTTTCAAAATACACTGTGGTAATTAATGTCATTTCCCATACTAGACAGTCAACTGTTTGATGGCAGGGTTGCCTTGAGGTGAACTTTTTCCCATCCAGTGTTGCCCTGATAGCTACGTATTTATTGGATGTTCAATACAGACCTGCAATTATAAAGACTACCTAAAATTATCCTGTACCTTTCCTTCTTTTGTAGCACTTACCACAACTTCAATCAGTTACTCATATAATTACTGTACATTTAATACATCCTCACTGAACTTTAAATTCCATAAGGACAAAGACAAAAAGCACAGGGACCAAATCTGTCTTGGTTATTATTTTATCCAGCACTGTACCTGGTGCTCAATAAATATTTGTGAATCTTTTCATAACCTGTTAAAGTTTTAGCCATTTATGTAGTGCTTATTATATGCCAGTCTCTGTTCTCAGCATCTTAAACACGGTAACGTTCAGTCCTTTAACGAAGGTATTAGGTGTATTTTTTTGATGTCTCCATTTCACTGATGAGAAAACCGAAGCAAGGTGATGTAACTTCTTCAGGGAGCCCATTCTAAAACATTAACTGACCCTTGACTATAACAGGAGTTGTGCTAAGCACCAAGGATCCAAAATAAAATCGGAGTTAATACTTTTTGAGCACCTACTATATGTCGGGCTTGGTGTTAGGCGCTTTACATAATTTTATTTAAGCCAAACAATAACCTTGCAATTTAGGTAACCTTAATCCCATTCTATTACGTAAAGTTCTGGCGAGGTTAAGTAACTTGATAAAGGTTACCAGCTGGCGGGAGGTGCAATTCCTATCACTATTCAAATCCAGTTTCCTCCTCCTCGGGAAAATTCCACAGGACTCCGCCCCTCAGCCACGTCTGGCCCCGCCCTCCATGTCTTCTACGCTTGCGTGCTCCTCGCTCCAGGCCCCGCCTGCGCCGCACCGTGCACGCCTGCGCACTGCTTCCCACGCGGGCTCGCCCGTGTGCCGGCCCAGCTGAGCGGCCTCACGGACGGTCCCCCTCCAGCCAGACTCTGTTGCCAGCGGGGCAGCCTCCACCATCTTGCTGTTGCCCTCCTGGCTCGGTCTTCCCCTCAGCGCACGTTGCCATGGGCAAGAGCAGGACGAAGCGCTTCAAGAGACCCCAGTTCTCCCCTACAGGCGGCAGTCAGGCCGAGTTGGCAGCGGCCGAGAATGGGACTGAGCGAGAAGACGACGATGACGGGCCGGCAGCGGAGCTGCTAGAAAAGGTGAGAGCCCGGGGCTCGCTAGTCCGGAGGGGTGGGGCGGGGCGAGCGGCGCGGGGCGGCGGCGGACCCCCTGCGCGCCTGCGTGCTGTTCGCCCTCTGACACACCTCCCGTCCCCAGCTTCAGCACCCCAGCGCCGAGGTCCGCGAGTGCGCCTGCGCGGGGCTGGCTCGGCTGGTGCAGCAGCGGCCGGCGCTCCCGGACTTGGCGCGTCGCGATGCGGTGCGCCGCCTGGGGCCGCTGCTGCTGGACCCCAGCCTGGCAGTGAGGGAGACGGCGGCCGGAGCTCTCAGGTGAGCAGGGAGGGTGCTTGGGGCGGTGCTATGATCAGCCAGTGCCTTTTGTGTTTCTTCCTTAGTGCGCCTGGCCGAGGCAGCTGATGAGCCTCATCCAATGATGGGGCTCCCTCTTTGTAGAGGGGATCTGAATTCAGATTTCAGAGGCTGCCTCGCTTGCTGTGTGTCCACCTGGCCGCATCGGCAGCAGCCACTTGTCCAACATCCGTCCTTGAAGGCCTATTGTGCATTGTCCTTTCTCCAAGAACCTTCCAGAGAGTTCTGAGATTCAGGCAGTGCTTCCATTATATATGTGGCAGGTCGTCTAGATAGGGGAGTTTGAGCAGGCAGCACATTGAGCAAGACAGCTGAGTTCCTTGCTTTTCCAGAACGATGCTGGTGAGACAGACAAGACCAGCAAACAGGTAAACGGACAATAGAGAGTGAGCAGAGCAGTGGGGAAAACAAGAGGATGACAAGTTAGGGGTAAGATGGTCCCTGAAATCTGATACGCTGTGATGACAGCTGACGCAGGAGAGAGCCAGATATGGAAAAACAGGAAAGAGCAGGGGGACAGCAGCAGCAAAGCAGGGAGGCAGCAGAGGGCTTGGCCTGGTTAAAGGAGGGCAGATGAGGGACCAGGGCTCAGGGTGCAATGCTGAAGAACCTATTCATTCTCAGCAGCAGTGACTTGATCTGATTGACCTTTTCAGAAGGCCACCCGTGGCTGTGCAGCGAATGGCCTGTAGAGGGGGCAAGAGTAGAAGTTAGTATTTATGGTCCTTAGTGCTCTATTATATGTTTCACTCATTGACCTAACAAGTCAGAGAGGGTTGCTTCAGGGGGTGTCACTCACAGCATCCTTACCCTTGCTGCCCCTGTAGTCTGGATTCCAAGACAAGGTCCCTCCACATAAGATTAGTCTGTGATTTATTCTCATTAAATAGGAAAGGTTTTCTCTCCCCTCTCCCCTGCAGACCCACGCTGCGGTACTATCTCAGATGGACTCAGATGGACCTGTCAGTTACATGACAGTCATTTGTTTACATCAGGTTGGATAAGTGGAAACCGATGGGTTGATTCTGCAACACCTTATGGAAATAATAAGCAGTTTTATCTGGGAAATGCCTTAAGTGTGGTTAGAAACAAATAAGTTCGAGAGCTTCATAGTGCTCTGTGATGTGCGTGATCTGAAAGTAACATGTATTTTCCATCCTCATGTAGAAACCTCAGTGCCTGTGGAGGTTTTGAAGTTTGTGATGACATGGTGGCTAAGGATATCATGACTCCTCTGGTGGCACTGCTCAGAGAGGTATGCAGTTGTAACTATCCTGGTGGCAGATGTTAAATGTGGCTTTCACCGTGCAAAGGCAGTGGGGGGTTTTGTTCGATTGTTTAGTTCTTTGGCATTAGTTACTTTGTCTTCCCTTCAAGCAGCCCATGGGAATTTTGTTTCTTTTCTTGGAAACACTTCTTTCTCCTTGTTGATAGCAGTATCTGGTTTATCCCCACCACATATATTTTTTAAATTTTTATTTAGTTATTTTTCAAGTACAGTTTTTTTGTCTATTTTTCCCATCCCAGCCTCCCCCGCCCCTTGCTCCCCACCTCCCTCCCATTTCCACCCCCCTTAGTTCTCATCCCTGTGTCCTTCCTATTTGTTCCTCCAAATCCCTCCCCCTATTTCCCCTTAACTTCCCTTCCTTCTCCCCTCTGGTCACTATCCCCTTGTTCTCTATTTCAGTGTCTTTGTTTTTTTTTTTTCTGCTTGCTTGTTTGTTTTGTTGTTTAGCTTCCTGTTAAAGGTGAGATCATATGGTATTTGTCTTTCAGATCCCCACCACATTTATTTAGATGCCGATCAGAGAGACTCCTTTAGACTTTAAACTTATACAGTAAAAATAATTAGTATTATTGATTGCTTCTTTATGTGGCAGATGCAGTTTCATGTACTATTAAGTCCTCACAGCAGAGTTTGGCATTTGTAAACTATTTGTATTGTGCAGATGAGGAAGCTGAAGCACAGACATTAGGAATTTGCCTTAAAGGTAACGCTGAGTCCCCAAATTTAATGTCATGCCAACTTGATTGCATGGTGTAGTTCAGGCATGAAGGAGCTCTCTCTGGCATGACCCTGATCCAGTATTCTGTGTTGATGGGTAATTTTTCACTTACGGCTAAGATGACCCAGTTTTGATGAGAGGCACCGGTCTTGTTCCCTTTTAAAGCAGGGTCATTAGCTAGGGTCAACGGCTATCATTAGCCGTTATCATGGCTCTACTGGGAGTGATTTGCCCAACAGGAGACATTTGGCAAAGTCCAGAGCCATTTTTGATTGTTACAGCCAGGGGTAGGCGCTGCTACTGGCATGTAGTGGGAAGCGCCCGAGGGTGCTGCTAAACACCCTACAGTGCATGTGACAGCCCCCCACAACAGAGTCACCTGGCTCCGGTGGTGCCGAGATGAGAAGCCTGGCTTTAGGGGGTGCCGTGGATTCCACCGGAGGGGCAGTCCTGCAGAGCGGTTCACCACCCCTGCTTTGGGTCCAGAATGCCTGGACCTGATTCCCAGCTTCACCATATACCAGGCTACACCCTCAGCAAGCCGTCTGTACCTGAGTTTCCTATTTGCAGAGGGAGATTGGCGATAATAGTGCACCTCCTTCATAGCATTGTGGCGGGATTGAATGACACTATGTACGTAAAGTGCTTAGACGCGTGCCTGGCACATAGAGGGCGCTGTGTGGGTGGCAGCTCTTAGCAGGCGCTGCCTGTCCCCACCTTATTTACTGTCTGTATCACGTTAGAGAAAATGCTCCGTGTTGGTTTTACAGTTTCATTTCAGTGTGAGATGCTTTATATGTAATTTGTACAACAGCTTGGGACCCTTTCTTGTCTGTCTCTCACCAAAGGGGACCAGGGCTGTGGGCGCGTTACTGCCTATGAGAATTTGATCGGCTTGTGAACCACTGTCCTTTCTGCTGTTCTGTGTTTGCGACCCATCGTTATCATTAGCCTTTTTGTTTAATTATTCTCTTGAACCAGCATGCTAATCGTTATATTTGGTTACAGTGTAGTGCTGGACTGGATTCAAATGAGATGTCGGCACAGAAAGAGAAAGATCGGAGTGGAAGCTGTGTTGAGAACATAGCCAACGAGGCCGTGAACGTGCTGTGGAATGTATGGTAAGGCGCTCGGCAGACCCGGTGCCGCGCAGGCTGCTGGCCGTGGTGGTCCGCCCCAGAGGGATGGCTCTTCTCTGGGCGTGCCTGTACATCCCTGCTGGTGCGGCTTGGTAGGTGGTCAGGTCACGTGACCTAAGATCAGCAGCCGCCCCGCCGCATGGCCTAGCCTTTCCCTCCTGGCATCACTACATCTTCCCTGCTTTCCAGCTCTCCTCTCCAGGCAGTACTGCTGACCACAGTAATGGGCATCCTGACCATGGGCATGTACCGCGCACCCTCCCCCTCAATGCCCATCACCTTAAGCAGCAGTTATCTTAGAACCAGCCAGGCCCCAGGGTGGTCACTGCTCTGGTTTGGCATCTGGAGTGAGGCAGGGACCACAAGGCTCGGTGGCTCCTTCTCCAACATGGCCTTGCAATGTGACAGGGACAAAGATGCAGGAGAGGAGCTCCTGTGGCCCCGTGGAGAAAGGCCACACTCTGTGTCATGATGGTGGCAGTTAGGAGTGGAAACGGCTAGAAACACAGCCTGGGTTTGCTTTTTTCTGCCTCGTTTTATGGTCTGTGTTTTTCGCAAGATTATAGCTTCTGCTGTAGAAGCTTTTGGGGCGATGAGCACGGAGGCCCGTCAGCCTCGCTGTGACTCATTCCCGCCGCAGAGTGGAGAGCACAGGAGGCCGGGCCCAGGGAGCCGCTGCTCACATGTGTGGTCTTTGGACTGGTCGCTTCTCCTTCTGGGGCCTGGTCTCCTCGTCTAGAAGTAAATGATTTCTAGGGTCTCTTCCAGCTCCAACGTCCTGTAAGAAAACTGGGGTGCAGGTAAAGAGATTGGCCCCAAGAGATCGGTGTAGAAGGGAAAGCCTAGACACCCAGATGCCCTCACGCACGGCGAGTGTGCAAGTGTGCATCGGCCTGGGCGTCCTCATCCCCGAAGGTGGCGGGTGGCTGACCTCGGTCCCAGTCCTTTTATGCAGCCTCGCGTGTTTCTCCATGAACTTCTGTGGTTGATTTCTCAGTGTTAAAATGTGAATGGTAAAACTTTCTCCCCCCCCTTGTCATTTTAGTGAATGCAGCAGTAGAGCAGTATCCATATTCAACAGAGAAGGGTGCTTGGAGGTCGTAATAAAGTATTTAAGTAGGTTTCCCACCAACGTCGACCTGGCTGTTTCAGTAGGTAAGTGGAGAAAAGGCGATGATCTGTTTAGTACGTGTGGCCTTATTTGAACATTTTACTCCCCACCTAATGTGTCTGTTCTGCGAGAGTGATTTTTTTCTTGTATGTGAATGCGTAACTGAGCTCTTTCATAACCTGCGTTTAGTGCTCGCACGGTTTTCCCACTCTTCACTTGGATGGGGGGGTCACGTGAGCCCGTGGGTTTTCCAGTGTGTTACCAGTCTCAGGGATACTCTGGTAATTCCCGAGTTTCGTCGCCTATTTCCTGAGAAGCAGTAACCCACGACCAGCAGGCCTCCGAGGCCCGTTCCACTGTCTTGTGCCAGTGTCGCACACTTTTGGCAGAAAACTGCCTGGGCCTGCTTCCCTTGCACAGACAGAAAGGAAGGTCTGGCAGCTTCAGCTGCCTGGCTCCCACCCCCGTACGTGGGGTCAGACGCCATGGCGGGTCCTCTCTCGGCAGGGGTAGGAGACAGAAACCGGAGGGCGGGTGCTCGGCTCGGCTGTGGGGAGAGGGGAGAAGCGTCCGATGCAGAGCGTTTCTTTTCTGCCCGTCGGACTGGCGGCACCGTTATTTAGCTCTGCCTTCCTCCTGGCGGGGACCAAGTGTTCCCCTTCCTGGTGTTTCTCTTGGTGCCAATGGGCACTTTTAAGAGAACAGGAAAGAAAAAACAAATAGTGGACCAAACACGACTGGGAAAAACTTCCAAGTCATTTTGTTAGAGTGGACTCTTTGGCAGAAGTGGGGGGTCAGTGAGTCTGTGCATTTGACAGTGGGGCCAGGCAGTTGGTAGGTGACTTTTAATCTCAGAGGACAGTTTCTGTCACGATAAGAATTTCAGGAAAGTTAGTCCACAGCTTTGAAAAGAAAAACTTGATTCCTGGATTCCTGTTTGTTCCTTAGTCTTGTTACAGGTTTATTTGCCTTATTTTAATTCAGGGGAAGAGTGAAATGGCTCATTTGTCTCTTAATATTTTACCCACCTCTGAATTTGCTTACATTTATATGTAAAATCCTTTTTTTTTTTAAATACTGTTTCACTGGAAATAGTTGTAACCTTTAAGGTCATGCTGAGTGTAAAGGAAGCCAGAATGTCCAAAACCCGGGGTGTGTTAGTGACAACAAACCTCCTCTGAGTGTTGGGCCCGGATGGGTGCTGGGCCTGCGGACTGTTTGCTGCTGGTCCACGGCACGTGGCCAAGGATGAGCCTGTATTGCTGTTTATAGCAACTGGGCTTGGTCATGGCGTTCAAGAGCCTTTAAAATTGTGTTCATAAAAGTCTACTTCTGTAAACAGTGGTACATTAATTAAAGAGAAAAGCAAACAGTCCTTCACAGCACCGGCTGTTAGGGGACCCTCATGTGCGGGTGGTGCCCTGAGCACACACACCCTGTTCAACCAGCGGTGTGTGGAGGAGTTGTAAGGACACGACTGTCTTCCGATGCGTCACTTTGGGGTGAGTCACCCTAGCAGGAGTCACTGTTTCTGAACACTTCGTTTCTGTCTTCGCAGCCTACTGCCTGCAGACGGTCACGGAGGATAACCCGGAGCTGCTGAAGTCCTTCAGGGGCTCGGCCTTGCAGGTGCTGGAATCAGCCATGCTGGCCCCGGCCAGTTCCATGGCACATGTTCTGCTCAAGACACTGGTGGCAGGTAAGACTCGGCCATGTGTGATCGAGTGCCTTTCAGTCACTCCTCATGGGTGGGGGTGGGGGCTGGACTTCCTTCATTCCCTCCTGTGCTTGTGTCTGTTCTGAGATTGATTTGCTTGCAGTGTAATACCCACTGTTGTCCGGCAGGGGGCGCTGCAGCTGGGGCCCCTGTTAACCAGGGCGGTGATAAGTGGATCACAGGCATCGAATACATGGCCACTCCCTGTTCCCAAGATTTCCCCGAGCCCTTGGACCCCAGGATTTCCAAATACAAACAAGAAATAATCTGGGGATCTGTTGAGTAGTTGGTATAATCGTAGCTTCTCTAGACATTTTTCTCTTGCCCTTTGGTCTTGAGGGAGTAATTTATCTTGAGAGGTGTTGTGGGGTTTTTTTAAGTGGTAAAATACACGTAACAAAGTTTTCTATCTTAACCATATTTAAGTGTACAGTTTAATCGTGTTAAATAAATTCACGTTGTCATGCATGCGATCCCCAGAACTTCCTCCATCTTGCAAAACAGAAATTCCATGCACAGGGAACAGCTCCCCACCCACTGGCCACGCCCCCACCCACTGGCCACGCCCCCACCGTTCCAGCAGCGCCCGCCTACTTTCCATCCACTCCAGCTGCCTTGTGTGCATGGAGTCCTGCATCGTCGTCAGGTGTTTTGGGTGACTAATTTCACTTCACAGAACACCCTCAGAGTTCACCCTCACAGCAGCGTGTGTCAGAATGTCCTTCCCTTTTAAGGCTGAATAATGCGCCCCTGTACGTAGGGACGTTTGGTTTATCCACGCCGCTTGGGCAGCTCCCTCCTTTTGGCTGTTGAAGAACGCTGCGTGAACTCGGGTCCAGATGCCTGTTTGAGGCCCCGCTTTCACTTCTTTGGTGTATGTCCAGGAAGGATCTGTATTTTAACCGTCGCTTTTTAAACAGTCATCCTGACGTTATCCTAGCGGGCATTCTCTTAGGATGATCAAAAAACCCCAGCACCTGCTACCTGGTGTGTCCGTGAGGCCGTGGGACTTGGGCACATTCCATTCCACTCGTGGACTAAGAGCAGCTGCCTCAGAGAGCTGCTCAGGTTAAGATGAAAGGAAAGGAGGCAACTTACTTTGTTGTTTTCAAAGAAACTGGAGCAGTGGCCCAGTCTGTTGCTAGGCGTTGTATCAGAGGACGGTGTGCTGAGGAGGGGACGACCAGGAAGGGCTGTACTAGAGCGAGCTGCCTCTGCGCGCAGCTTTTTGGCTTTTAATTAAAACGGAACAGCCCTGGCTGGCGTAGCACAGTGGATTGAGCATGGGCCTGTGAACCACAGGATCGCAGTTCGATTCCCAGTCAGGGCACATGCCTGGGTTGCAGGCCAGTTCTCAGTGGGGGACACATGAGAGGCAACCATACACTGATGTTTCTCTCCCTCTCTCCTTCTCCCCTTCCCCTCTAAAGATAAATAAATAAAATCTAAAAAAAAAAAAAAAACTGAACAGAGGCGGTGGGATCAGGACTCCTTGAAGTGACAGCCAAGCTTACAGAGCCAGTCACAGGTGACCCTTGGTCTTTGCGCTCATTTTCCAGGCACAGTTTGGAATCTGAAGGACGTCGTCCCGTCCAAGAGCCAAGCAGAAATCATAAATGCTGTCCTGAAGATCTTATCTGAGGTTCTGGAGATGGATGCCGGTGAAGTGGTCATTCGATTGAAGGAGGCCGAGACGCAAAGGCTGAAAACCGCTGCGGAGGCCGAGGGGACGCCGGAGAACGCTGGTGGGGGCGGTTCGCCCGAAGACGGAGCGATGGGAGAGACTCTGCCGAAGGGAAGAGGCAGGAGGAGAACTTTCGTCTCGGATTTACTCCCAGTAAGTCGGATTGGTGCTTTCCCATGTGGGTTAATACGGGGACTTCCTTACAGTAGGTGTCGCAAGTTTTGTAAAAAAGCGTTACAGTAAAATTAATTAGAAGATGAATTTCAGTAAAAATTGGTCCATTTTTCCCACGAACTCTCATTTATAACATTAGAAATCTGTACCCAAAGGGGAAAAAAAACTCTTTAAAGTGAAACTTTTGTATATAGAAGATTTCAAAGACGGGACACCCCAAACTTCCACTCTGGAAGCGGGCGATCCTCACGGGAGCTGCCCTGTCCCCCGGGTCATCCACGCGATGTCTCCCCGACCATCCCCCAGCGCCGGGATTTTCACTTCGCTTGGGTTGTTCGATCTGGGACGCCCATGTCCCTCTTACGTTAGTGCTGGCCTGACAGAGTGGCAGGCCAGGCCTCCCTCTGCCCATCGCTGCCGCACGCAGGAGGGCGTCTGGTCGTGGGATAAACGGAGGCTGGCGGTTTTTGCAGGCTGAGTAATGGGGGATGCTGGTGCTCAGGTGCAATGTCGGGGTGAGGGTGCCTCGTCCTCGGTGCAGCAAACGTTTCAGCTGAGCCAGTCTGCAGAGAAGGAGCTGTGCTTCAGAGAAAGCGGCCCCATGGAGGCAAGCAAGGAGTCAGGAGGCCAGTAGGGCCAGGATTTGACCCCTTCAGGTACACACTGTCACTGCCACTACCTGGGACCAGGCGCTGGGCCAGGTGCCGGGAAGTGAGAGATGATTAAGACAGATTTCCTGTCTTCAGGGACCACTGTGTCTCGTCTTGGGAGGAGACACATACTTGTGGTTTACCATGATGCCTGTGCTAAGGACCATGAGAGGGCTGGGCCCAGCTTCTGAGCAGCAGATTGTCTACAGCTGGCTCACCTGGCCGCCTGAGGGCAGAGGGAGGGAAGAGGCAGGCAGAGGGGGCTGGGGGTGGGACTCCTGAGCAGACTTAAAGGCTGGGGCGGAGACAGCCTGGGGAAAGCAGGGCTGTGGAGCTGGGGGCCTGGAGGCAGGAAGCCCAGGGAGGAGGCTGCTGAGGTCATCCCGAAGAAGCGGGCAGGCCTAAATGGGAAGCTTGCTGCCCCTGGCCTCTGCAGCCTCACCTGAGGCCTGGCCTTGTTCCTGTGAAGTGATCTGGAACAGAACAGTCTTCAGTTAGTGCCGCGGACGCTCAATAAGGTTGTGCCAGTAAGAATTCTCTAAGTGAGAATATACCTGAAAATCAGTCTCCTCCTTTTTCGAATTCACGAAGTTGTGTAAAGCGTGACGAGGTGATGTCACAGAGAAAGGAACACAGAGCAACCTTTCCAGGCCCCGTGCACAGCTGGAGGGCTGTGTCAGGTGCCAGGTGAATACCACCCGAGTTGATCGCAAATCACAAGGCGTCTGAAAAGGCCTGGCGCACCCCCTCCGGAGCAGGTGACGCATGTGTGAGCCCCACACGTATTCCTGTCCCTCGTGTCTTAGTCAGAGCTGAGGGATTTAAAATCAGTGACGTGGGACAGACAGAGGTGCAGCTATGCATCTGGTCCTCCCAGGAGGGTGTCTGCAAAGAGCCCTGGGGACATCTGTTCACTTGTCACAGGAGGGCTCAGTTCTCGATCTGGGACAGCCATGGTGTTGCGTCCACACGGACGGGGCAGGTCAGCGTCCGAGGCTGTCCCACAGCTGCCCGCTGCCCTGGCCCAGGCCCGACTCATGCAGCAGCTTTCCCCGAATTCCAGTCCGAGCCGAACAAAAGTCCCTGGAGGCCCCATGGGTGGGAGGATGGCACTCCCGAGCGTTGCCCCTCTGCCAGCCTCTCCTCCAAGGGGCCCCTTCCTAGAGCGGCCGAGGGGACCAAGCTCCATGTCTCCTGAGACTGGCTAAAAACTATGAGTATTTAACTGGTGGTTAGACATTTACTTTCCTATGTATTCTTTTCTTTTCTTTTTTTTTTTTTTAATCTTTAGAGGAGAACGGAAGGAGAGAGGGAGAGAAATATCAATGTGTGGTTGCCTCTCGTGCGTCCCCTGCTGGGAACTGGCCTGCAACCCAGGCATGTGCCCTGACCGGGAATTGAACCGAAATCGTGTGGTTCGCAGGCTGGCGCTCAATCCATTGAGCCACACCAGCCAGGGTGGCCTACGTACTCTTTAAAAATAGAATTTTGAAGCCCTGGCTGGTGTAGCTCAGTGGATTGAGCACAGGCCTTCGAACCAGACAATCGCGGTTCGATTCCCAGTCAGGGCACATGCCTGGGTTGCAGACCAGTTCCCTGCAGGCCAATTCCCAGCAGGGGATGCATGAAAGGCAACCATATATTGATGTTTCTCTCCCTCTCTCCTTCCCTTCCCCTCTAAGGATAAATAAATAAAATCTTAAAAAAAAAAAAGATTTAAAAAAAATAAAATAAAAATAGAATTTTGGAGCTGATAAAATGCAGTGTTGTAACAAAAGCTTGCTTTTTAAAATCCGGTAACATAATGATGATTAACAGGCCCGTGGGCCACTGGGCATCCGCTGATATGAGTCAGGAGTGCAGATTTATGGCCAGCCTGGGTCCAGCCCTTCGCACCGCCCAGGGGTCCTTGAGAATCAGAACCTGTAATTGCAGCATTTCACGTGAGAAGCTATAATCCCAGATGTGTAAAGAGAGAAGCAACTCAGGTGATTGTTGTAACATATGTGGAAGCAGACCAGCCTCCTTCCAGCTCCAACAGCCTCCCACGGTTGTCGTTTATCACACCGTAGTCTGTTCTGTGTCATCCCCGTCCCCGCCCCCTCTCCCCTCCACTACCAAATACCTTCAAGCAAGTCTCAGATGTCATAACATTTCCTCTGCGCTGGTGGTGTGACAGCAGCAAGAAGCAGGGTGAGGTTCGGAGCAGGCGAGGTGTGTAAAAAGGTGGGACTTAATCTCGGCTGCTTCCGAGCCAGAGCGTGTGAGTCTGAAGTGGGGAAGAGCCTGTGTTTCCTCGAGTATCCCACGCAGTGAGTAGGGTAGTTTTTACATTCATTCTTGCCAGCAGTAAAAGAAATACAGGCATTGAATTAGCCACATCTCTTCAATGAGCAATTTGCCCCCTTTAAGAACATGGTTTGAATTACAGTTAAGTTGTTGCATAAGGAAGTTGCTGGAGGATTACAAATGAGAATAAACACTCTGGACAGGAAATTGGGGCCATGTCACAGGTCTCCAGTTGTGTTTTTAAACCCTGACCCAGTAAATCTGAGGAATTAAGATATCCAAGTAATCTGAAATACCCCACATCAGTGAAATGCTTCATAAATGATACTGCATCCATCATTCAGATGATAAAATACACATTATTTCTACCTATGCACCGCTTTGGGATGTCAGTGTAGCTTTTTCCCTTTTCATAGGTGACTTGCAAATTAAGGTCATGAAAATGTGCACAACCCCTCTCAAAAATGGTGATTGGTAAGTTCATGCTAATTCATTTCCAGAGGAAAACATCCCCCTCCTTCAGCGTTGAAGAAGGGCTTTACTGTAACCTCCAGAAGAGGCCCAGAAGCAGGCCTGTCCGCCCCCAGCCCAGCCCTGTGGGCCCCGGAGGGCTTGCCCGTAGTTCTTACTGGTCTTCCCCGGGAAGACGTCCAGGCAGCTAAAGGCAGGTTGCTGTGCATCGTGCCCGGCGTCTGAGACGGGCTCCTGCTTTAGTCTGGGTGTGCGCAGCCGCTTCTCAGTACGTTGGGTTGAGTTTCGGGGGGGAGTCCGGTGCACAGTGCCTGGCTGTCCGTCCTCTCCCGCTCACTGAGCAGCGCGTAGAGAACGACAGCCATGCAGGTAGCTGGGAGTCCAGGTGACAGCTGCTTGCTCCCCGGTGCCAGAGGGATCAGTGCTTCCTCCTTATTATGACTCTTGTCCCCACCGCACCCCTGCGGCTGTGTGACATTGAAATCATTGAGCCTACTTGCACTAAGGTGCAGGTGGCAGACACAAAGCCTGCGGGCCCAGCCTAGCCCCCCTCCTTGTTTCTACCCAGTGGCAGTGCCGAGCTCCCACTTAACTGTTAAGGAGTAGTTACATGTACACAGTCCTAAAGTTACATTTGGCCCTTTGAAGGCAACTGCAAGGCTGACGTGGCCCCCGGTAAACATGAGTTTGATACCCCGAAAGGGGCCTCCCGTGAAGGTGCCGGCCGCACATTGAGAGTCGGTGGTTTGCTTCTCCCCAGCCGACTGACATGGAGCTGAGAGAGGCCACGGCGCTGCTGACCGCTCAGCAGACGGCTCTGGAAATCATTGTCAACATGTGCTGCAGCGAAGGTTCGTGGCCGGGGTACCTCCCTTTCCCAGGCTGAGTGGGCAGCTCCCACCAGGACCCGGCTCACGCCCTGTGCTCCGCGCCCTTCGCAGGTCCCGCCGACGAGGACGAGGACAAGTGGGAGGAGGAGCTTTCCAGCAGCGACGAGAGCGAGGTGTTTATGGAGGACGCCCTCTGTGAGGGCGCCGGGCAGCTGCTCTCCCCACTCTGCCTCTCCCACGAGGTCCACACCGCCCTCACGAGCTTCCTCCTCCCCAGGAAGGTAACCGTCCTCGGTCTGGACTCACTGCACATGACGGGGAGGCTGGGGACTCAAGGGGCAGTAAGCTCCCACAGTAGGTGACTGGGAAGCTACATGGACAGATAGTCCCGCACATGGGCTGACCCTTCCGCCTGGGCGGGATGCGTCGGGGCTGTGGGGGGGGGTCTGGTATATATACAGTGAGCCTGCTCTTTAACTTTTGCTTTATGACTTCTTGACACCTAGATATTTGAGAAAACTGCCTTTCCGAACAGCATTGCGGTGGACATGTGTTCCAGAAACCCCACGTGGAAACCTTTGATTAGAAAGTAAGGACTTTCCTGTTTTCCAAACCATTTGTCGTCGTCGTTATGGGAAAGGGCGGACCACTCGATAGAAGGGGCCGACTGCCCCTGGGTTTGTGGTTCTGTGCCGTGTGCACGCCCCAGGGAAGTGTGTGCTTGTGGCCAGAGAGTGCGTGTAGTGGTGGGGCTCACACTTGCCCCAACCTCTTCTGGCACGATCGCAGGGCAGAACACACAGCCGTGAACGGGGCCTGAGCCAGAACTCACCACGTGGACCAAACACCACTGAGCTAGAGATCGGAGCACAGCCCAGCACACACACTGGCGTAACTTTCACAAAGTGCAGACACGGGCACCACCATGCTCGTCTGTTCAGGGACGCACACATAGGTGTAAGCCTAGAAAGAAGAGCAAGGACTTGTTCACATCAAAGTCTGGACCTGCGGGGTCAGGGGGGTGGGGCGTGGAGGGGCGGTGGAGGTCAGCTGTGGGTGCCAGCCACGTCCCTTTCAGTGGATTGGCTGGAGAAGGGCTCCGCTTCGGCCTTTGCTCACTGCCGCCGACCTCCTGTTTCCCGGTGCTCCCAGCCCGAACAGCTGGCTCCGGCCCCCATCAGAGAAACACAGCATCGTCTCCCCTCCCTTGCAGAATGAACACCGTGCAGTGCCGAGCCCTCCTGTGCCTCCAGAGTCTCGTGTCCCTCCTGGAGCTGGAGCACCTGGGCGGAGCGCCGGCCCTTCAGGAGCTCGCACAGCACCTGTCCACACTGCTCTTTTCTCGGCCAGGTGAGGAGTCCTGCTGCGGAAGGGCACTCAGGTGGAGCGGGACTGGAAGGGGCAGCGACTTGGACTGTGTGTTGGGTCTGGGTCGTGCAGCCTGCGGAAGCCCTTGCTGACGCCACCGGTCGTGTTCCCGCAGCTGCAGGTGGCGGGGAGTTGGACCACAGTGCACAGGCGGGTTTCTGGGTCGTGGTTTTCTCATGGAGATTGTTTGCATCTGGTCAGACCAAGTAAGGCCAAATCACAAATGCCTTTAATTTAGGCCTCATGAGTGTGTTTGGCTAATTGTCCATTTTTTTTTCTTTAAGATAAAACCACTTGGTTAACAGTCTCTACTCAGACACCTTGCCTAGTAAGCGCTGAATCTGTAATTGGCAGGTCTCTGTGCAGATATAGGTCAGTTTCATTTGTACACAAAACCCTAGGCAGATGCTGCATGTAGTTAACTGTCCTTCTTAATGACCTCTTCCTGGGCCCTGGGCTCCCTCCCACCCTGGGGGCCAGGCTCCCAGGGCAGCCTGGAAAGGGGAGCATAGACACACCGTCAGGCGGGAGTCAGGTTATCCTTCGTGACCTGGCTTGGCACTTCCTTACGTTCTGTTGGTTGAAGACATAGTCCCCAAGCCCCACCCAGATTGAGGGAGTAGAAAGAGACTCCACATCTTTCTGGAAGTGCCCAGGTTCTAAAAGATCACGTCAAGCTGGAAGTGGCTGTTTTTGGAAAATGGAACCTACCACACCGAGTGAGTCACTTTCCCCGCCCACCAGAGGTTAGGGAGCCAGCTCATCTGGACGCCTCCTCTCCACTTTTACGCAGCTGTGTTAGCGCAACAGTTGACTGCTGTTCTGTTCATCTTGAGCAGGGAGAAGGGGCCTGTGAGGAAGGAGTGAAAGTGAGCTGGAGTGGACAGGCGAGGCTGGGTCCCTGAACACCGTGGCGGCTGGCCCTGCCCTGCCCAGCCACAGCTCTGGGCTGGGCGGTGGGTGCAGGCTATGAGGACTCTGGTTGGGAAGGTGGCCCCCCGCCTTGCCAGCAGGCTGGTGGGGATCTGTGAAAAGCTGAAGTCAGTCTTCAAAAGCCAGCTCCGGCGCATCCCGATAAAGCAGGCCCGGAACGAAAACCAGCGCCCGGGGTCTGGGGCTGCCTGTGGAGCCCTGCCTGGCCACGGTCATTTCAGTGTGGCCGAGCGTGCAGGCCGCAGGAGCTGTGTTGTGGGAGCCAGCTTCCACCCGGACGGTGTTTTCACTGCAGCGGCGTGGGTTAACACTTGGCGTGCTTCTACCATGAGTGGTTTCCTTTTCTATAAAATCATTGTCTGGAGAAAGGCAGAATTCACGTTTCACTCTTGTTTGCAGATTTTGCTCAGCATGTTGACTTTCTAGAAGCCATAAGTAGTGCCTTGCGGGCCCTTTTGCAAACAATGGCCTCCAAGAACATCCCCCAGGTAAGGGTTAAAGTTTTCATGTGAAACTACCAAAGAGTCAGTATTTATCACTTAACTGTTTTTCCAGTTTTTATTTCTACTGCAGTGATTCTGGTAAAAAGAAAACAGAAGTGCATAAAGTAAAATGTAAAATCCTTCTTGTCTCCCCCCACTGCCACCAGCAGACAGTAGGTCTGTCACTTGTGTAACTCATTTGTCATGGGCGTTGTGAACATTGTCTCTGGCTGCCGTTTGTCATTCTAAAGCACTCTGGTGTGGACCCTCTCGGCCGTGCCCTCCTGACCCTGCGCGATGAGTGACCCTCGCCTCTGAGCCGGGCACCACAGCACCTCCGAGTCCTGCTGTGCGTGGAGGGCCCCCTCAGACCTCCCCGAGAGCAGGGGGCGCAGCTCCTTGTTGTGAGTGCGGACAGTGAGCCCGCGGCGCCTGCACCGGAGGGGCGGCTGGTGTCGGCGCTCACGCACATTTCCTGTCTCCCTGACACCTCTGCACCTGCTTCCACAGTGGTGTGCCACTCGTGTTGTTCCACCCATACGTCTTTTATCATGCGTGTCATAATGTCTGTGACGACAAGTGGACTTGGGAAAACGTGGCCACACCACTGTGACCCACACCCTCAATGAACAGGCATTCCCTAGTTGTCCGTGACGAGCCAGCTGGGTCTGCTGGCCCTGCCTGGTCCCACTCACTGGGACATCACTGCCCACATAGCCGCTCTTCCCAGCCACCTGACTTCGCAGTTCCTGGGACCCCTTCTCCCAGCGCTGTGCCTGCCTCTCGCCCCAGCACTGTGGCCTCACCTCCAGAGCAGAGCACCTGGACGTCCTCCTGCTCCGGAGTCTGTGGGTGCCTGGTGCTCCACTGTGACGTGGGGTCTGCCCTGTCAGCTTCTAACGTGGACTCTAAAAAAGTTCTCCGTGTGTTTTTTCAAAAACATAACTTTCGACTCTGAGTTTTTAATGCCTGGCCTGCCGGGTGGCCGCCGGGAGGGTCAGAAGCCCCTCCACGGCGGGGCTTGTAGGAATGTCCAGTATTGTCGTTGAGTTTCCATGGTGTTCAGGCAGTAACTGATGGCGTCAGCCTGACGTTGAAAAGAAATGACTCACAGCTGGGGCTCAGCCGACGATCAGTTATTCACGTGTAGTCAGGCCGGAAATCCTCAGGTCGGCGGTGGCCTGGGCATGGGCTGTGAGTTTTAGAACTCGAAGGAGCCTGGCTCTCTGCCACGTCATAAGGAGAGGTGGTCAAGGACCCGACGTGCCATGTGGCAGCTCCAGGCCCGGACACGGCTGTCCTGCTCGGCCATCCACCGCTGTGCCTGTGGCTCTCATGTGCTGGGCAGCTTCCATTGTGAGTCACCCCAGTAGTAACGAAGCACACCTTCCTTGTCCTCCCCAGCCTGTCCTAGCGAGGGACAGCTCCATCGTTTGTGGGATTTTTTTCAGCAGACTTTTCTGAGCATACTTGCTATTACCTTTAGACTTGGCAGAGTGGTGCGGGTGAGTCAGAAACGAATTAGACGATTTAGAACTGCTCGGGACTCCTCCATAAAACGATAGCTGACATGTAGTGAGTGCTTGGTGTGTACTTCTCAGCCCTCCCAGCCCCTCTGGAGGTAAAGCGGGGGGTGTACTGGGACTCAGGAACTCGTGCTGCGTTGCCAGGTGGCAAGTAGTCAGGCCATAAATCCTCAGGTCGGTGGTGGACTGGACGTTGGCTTTTGACTTTTAGAACTCGAAGGAGCCTGGCTCTCTGACGCGGTATAAGGCGAGGAGGCCAAGGACAAGTAGTGAGAGAGCGAGGTGTTTCTGGGATTTGGGATGGGGGCTGGGATTTGAACCCAGGATGTCAGGCTCCAGGTCCTGAGCCCTTAATCCCCACACTGGGCTGCCTGTCACAGGCAGCAGGACACTCAAACTCCACAATACGCGTCTGCACGTGCGTTCAAATGAGCTTAAAATGGAAAGTATTACTGCCTAGTGAACCAGTATTACTGATTTTTAGTCTTCAGTAATTGACCATAACATGTCTCAGAGTGAGTTCCTATCTTGTGTAGATTCAGCCAATTTTTATTAGAGCTACGTGATCCTATTACATTTTCAAAAGACTTTCATGATCAATGCTGAAAAGAAACTGGAATCTCTCCAGTTGGAGTGCATTTGAAGGAAAGTCTTTAAGTGAAACTGATGGGAGCCCACGCCCCTTTTGTGGGCTCCTGGCTGTGGGGGTTTGAGTGATGACAGTGACACTGACAGGCCTTGTCCCAGCTCTGAATGGCCAGCCGTGTTGGGGGGTGACTAGAAATGTGTAGTGACTTCTCTGCCAAGAACTTGCGTTGTCCTCGGAGCCCCCGCGGGAGAGGCTGTCGGCCGTGCGTCCTGTGCGGTCGGTCCTGGCTGAGCTTCACACCGCACGTGCTCTCCTCCCCTCCTCCGACAGTGCATGACCCCGGACCAGCTGATGATGCTGTGCAGAGCCGGCATTCAGAGCGCTAACGTCAGCGTTCGAGTGAACGTGGTCAGTATTTTGGGAATCACGGGCAGCGTCCTTGCCAAAGAAGACGGCACACTCGAAACTCTCAAGGTAAAACAGTCTGCTTGGTTCGTCACTATTACTGCGGGTTTTAGGGCACCTCTGTGGATGTCGTGAAAAGATACTGTATTGAGAAGGTGCTCGCTGAAGGACATCCTTCATCCACCTTGTGGCTTGCTTTCACTGCACAGATTAGATAGGGACTTGAAAATCTGAGTCCCATTTTGCCATTTAACTGCTTCAGAGATACTTTTCCAAAATGAACTTGTCTCCCATGAAAGGCAAGTTCAAAATTTTGAGATGCCCTGACCTCGGCTGTTGCACTGATGTGCGGTTGTGCTGCCAGGAGGGAGCCTTCACCCCAGGCTGCGCGCACCCGCACCACACCCCACATGTTCCTCCTGATGCTGCCACTGCGTGTGCACGGGGAACTCGCTCGGCATTTTGCTTCCAGCACTTCCCCTCCCCACCGGGTGCTCAGCAGCTGCTCTGTTAGAGATGCGGTGTCACCGCCGGCCGAGGACAGGGTGACAAAGCTTGCTCAAGTGTGGGTCCTGACTGACGGGAAGCACACCGCTTAGTAGACAGCACGCCTAACCTGCTAGGCACTTCACAATGATAGTGATATCTGTAAGACCCTTATTTTCAAAAGATGGTACGCGCACACAGCAGAACACTCACCTCCACCCTAAACATCCAGTCCCTCGTTACCCCTTCCTCTGCGGCACCCCTGGGATCAGGGTCTGCGGACGCACATTGGGCCGGGCGCGGCCGTGTGACGACGTATAGACGCACACAGGCTAGGGCGCAGTTGTGTGACGTACAGCTGCACAGTGGGCTGGGGCACGGCCTTGCTGCTAACGTGTAAATGTAGGGTTGGTTGGGGTGTGGCCACGTGGCCGACGTGTATACGCACAGTGGGAAGGGGCGTGGCTATGCGTTCGACGTGGAGACGCACAGTCGGCCTGGCGCGGTGGACAACACGGAGATACGCGGTGGGCAGGGGCGCAGCCGTGCGGCAGAAGTGTGCACTGCGTGCGGGTACGCTATCCGTAATACCAGCGTTTCCGAGTTCTGCGTTCAGAACAGCACGTTTTTTTCAGGCATAAGGTAGGATTTTTTTAATGTTTTTACTTAGTTCTATTTCCAAGCATGAAGAAAAACAGAAAAAGGGTGGAGCGTGTTTTGTGAGCTGACGAAGCGTGTTCAGTGATGAGCAGCATCCCATCATGTGTGCTCCACGTGGTTTCTTTGCTGGGTGAATTAAAGTAAATTAAGGGCGCCGTATGTTTTTCCCTTACTGGCTCACATGCACGCCCATGGGGGCGGTTTCTTGTATGGCCGCCATCGTCTCGCCTTACTCAGCTAAGAGTCCTTTCCTAGTGTGTCGGGTACCTGGTCCATTCTCACACTTTTAGTTCCTAAAATATACACTTGCAGATGGTTGGACCAGCACCTGAGTGAAGTGTGCGTGTTATATGTGGTCTGAGTTCTTCCAGGCCTCTGTGACTCGGGGACAGAGCAGCACCCAAGACCGCTCATCACCCACCCCTGCTCTGCCCCGTAACTCTGGGGTCAGTTGTTCCTACGCAGTGTCCAGCCTCTGGGTTTCTCCGATTGCTTCCCCATGGTGCTAAGCTTGTTCCCTCCTCTGTATCGCCTGCACCCGCAGCGAGCCCTCCGGGCCAGAGGAGATGCAGATCCAGATCAGTCTTTTCAGTGAGACTGCTCATAGGGGCGCCACGTGCTCCCTCCTGCCTACTGCATAGGATGTTGTGACCTGGACACTTAGATGGTGCATGGACTGTCCAAGGGCCATCCTGTCACAGGGAAGCCGGAGTTTGGACTTGGGGTTCTTAGCACTTCACTCTCCCGCCGGGAGCACCAGCTTTGCACATGCCTTTCCGACTTGAAGGGCGAAGCTGAGCCACCAGACAAAATAGTTCACTCTTGAACAGCTCTTTGCAGTTTAGGAATGGCTTGGTTTTTTGTTTTTTTTTTAATTTTACTTGTTTATTTTTAGAGAGGAGAAGGGAAGGAGAAAGGGAGAGAAACATCAATGTGTGGTTGCCTCTTGCATGTCCCCTAGAGGGGATCTGGTCCGAAACCCAGGTGTGTGTCCTGACTGGGAATTGAACCAGCAACTCTGGTTTTCAGGCAGGCACTCAGTCCACTGAGCCACACCAGCCAGGGTGGAAATGGACTGTTTAATAACTAGCCAATTGTGAAAATTCAGTGAAGCAAAATGAGAGTGTATTCAATTTTTTTAAATTGTCTTTGGGTGTTTTTTGTATACTTTAAAAAGCATCTTATTTGTTCCATTTTGACACCATGGGGAAAGCTTTTTTGAGGGAAGCAGAGGGGGAATTTTTTAAACTTCCTAAATCAACCTTTCATGTATTATTTATGGATCTAATTCATTTTATTTAGGGATATAACTGCTAATGTGTTTAATTTCTCTTATATTATACTTAGTCTATTTATAGATATATGTTGTCTTTAATCTTTACTCTTCTCAAAGTTAGAATTTTCTGCCGGCATTTTTGTGTACAGTATCACGCGTGCATCACTGCTGTTTAAAGCTGGTGCTCGGGAAATTGCCCTAGGAATTCTGGTGCTAATGTGCGTCTTATTGGCCCCAGACCATCGGCTGCTCCCTGCTGGAGGTTGCCACCAAGGACCCTTCACTGGTGGTCACAGGAGAGGCCCTGGACGCCCTGTTCGACGTGTTCGCAGACGGCAGAGAGGCCGAGAGGGCCTCCGTCCAGATCCGTTTACTGCCCGCTCTGCGAGAGCTCCAGCCAGTCTTCAAGATGAAGGTATGTGGGCCGTTCAGTGGGGAGTGTTTGAGCCTCCTTGTCCTGTGGGAACAGGAGTGTGCAGTCCCCGCCCTGAGCCCCTTCCTGGTGCCCAAGTCCCCCGGCCCCATCTGCAAATGCTGCCAGGCCAAATCAGAGCTGGGACTCCATGACCCGAGCCAGATGGCACACGCCTTCTTCTTCTGTAAGTTGAGCGGTGCCGCCAGTGCTCCTTAGGTATAAACGCAGCAGTCTGCAGCCCACAGAGCTCTTCCCGGTCTCCAGCCTCATTTTATATTACGTACTGCGTTACAGGCTCGTTTCACTGTCATGAATATTTCCCTTTGGTGCTCAGAAAAAAAGACAAACCCCCTGGAAGTAAATAGTTGTCTTTTTGGCTTTTAGACTTTAAGTTCAACATTCGCTCTTAATCTTTGCGAAGAAAAGAGAGCTTCTGAAGGAAGATGATCTTTTTGTTGTTTTTCAATATGCATTTCTTTGATCTAGCAAGTTTCTAACGCAGAATTAAGGCCTCACGGAAAGAACTGAATCCAGAAATTTAGATGTTCTGAGAAAGTTTTAAGGCATAAAAAGTAGTTTTATTTCCCAGAAGAAAACAGAAACACAGGCCGCACACATCTTCTGTCTTTCTCACCTCTGAAGCGGGTGTCGGTTGAAGAACATTAACATCGCTGTGTCTTTAATGTCTTGATGTGTTGGCGTGTTAACGTCGGAAGAAGTCAGGGCTGGTGGCTGGCACTTCCTGAGCAGGGCCTGACCCGTGGGGACTGAATCCTGGGGGGGGTTGAACAGCTCACTCTTCACTGTGTTTCGGTGAAGCCTGTAGTTTTTTTCTTCGGTGTTGTTTTTTTTTTTTAATTTATTTTCAGAGAGAGGGGAAGGGAGGGAGAAAGGGAGGGAGAGAAATATCAATGAGCGAGAGCAATTGGTTGCCTTTCACACACCCCCCAACCCAGGCACGTGCCCTGACAGGGAACAGGACTGTCAACCTTTCAGTTCACAGGCTGGCACTCAATCCACTGAGCCGCACCCACCAGGGCTGTTTTGCTTCTGCTTTTACTGGGATGTAATTGGAAATTATACTGGGATGGTTACTGGAATATGATTGACGTGTGACACTGGATCGGTGTCAGGTGTGTCACACCACGGTCTGACTGGATGTGCACGGTGTGAAGTGATCGGCACGGTGAGTCCAGTTAGCACCCATCACCTCGCAGAGAGACGTGTTTTTCTCCCGAGGGGAGCTTCTCAGACCCACTCTCTCAGCACCTTCCCAGTAGACACGGCAGCGCCGTTGACCAGAGTCCCTGCCTGAACATCACATGCCCTGGCTGCCTTCTCTCCTTGGTGCAGGTTCGTACCCTTTGCCCTCTGAAGCTGGTCTGTGTTCTCAGCGGTGAGGGGTTTTCTTCCCACTTCCTCCCTTCCTTGTGGGCGATCACACCGAGCGGTGCGCCTCCAAGCGGAGACAGGTGTGCCTTCGCGTTTCGCCATCACCCGGAAGGGAGCGTCCCTTGCTCACAGCCCTGCACTGGGTGTGTCTATGCAGCACTGCCCCCTAGTGGTCTTCCCAGCCGGCACCGGCACAGTGTCCACCGTGTCCTGAGGGTTGCAGGCCCTCCAGGCTTCTGAAGAAGGGCTCTGCAGGAGGAGCGGAAGACATCCCCTTTTCCTGCAAGGGAAGCAGGCGTCGTCAGGTCACCGAACCGTGGAAGCCAGTGCTCGGAAACAAGTGACGTAGACTCGGAACTAGGAAAAGGACCCCTGACCTCTGGGAGGTCTGCTGTTCGGATTGATGCCATGGTAACGACGTATAGTCGTGGTTTTCCTTCCTCAAAGGCTGTCGAGCCCTCAGGGACCGTTTCTGTGTTAGCCGGAAGGGCAGCCTGGAGTTTTCTATTGGAAGCCCCTTAGTCAGCAAAGTCACAATGGCAGTAAAGGTTGTTCGGTACATATGTAGCCCCAGATGGCACGGAAGCGCCGTAACAATGCATTTGACTACACAACGTCCCCAGATTAGTGCTTCTCCAAGCGCCCTGGGTCCGCGGCAGCGGCACCTGCTAACTGGTCACAGGTCACATGCTAGGGCCCAGCCCCACGCCTGCTGGGAAGCAGAAACTGCCCGGCCCGCCAGCCTGGTGCTTGGCGAGCCTTCCAGGGAACACACTGCCGCACACCGAGGCCTGAGAACCTCTGCTGGGACTCCGGGCGGGGGCACTCATTCTCAGACTCTCCGGGTTAGTTGTTCCAGTAACTGCCATTTCAAAGGTACGTAGTCTTCAGGAAAACTTACAGCAAAACAGAAACGCAGCTGTCCAGGTGGGATAGGGCGTTTGTAAACAACCTCTGATGGGGGCTAATACCTAAAATATATGAGGAGCTCATACAACTCAACAACAAAAACAATCTTACTAAAAAATGGGGAAGGCCCTGGCTGGTGTGGCTCAGTGGACTGAGTGCTGGCCTGCAAACCAAGGGGTCACCAGGTCGATTCCCAGTCAGAGCTCATGCCTGGGTTGTGGGCCAGGTCCCCAGTGGGGGTCATGCAAGAGTCAACCACATACTGATGTTTCTCTCCCTTTCTTTCTCTCTCTCTTACCCCCTCTCTCTAAAAATGAATAAAATCTTTAAAACAAAATGGAGGGAGGACCTGAACACCTTCTCCAAGGAAGACGTCAGATAATCTAAAAAGATGCCCAGGCTCACTAGCTGTTAGGGAGATGCAGATCAAAGCCACAGGGAGGGACCACCCCTCACCCCTGTTAGAATGGCTGTGAGCAGTGAGTGAGACACGGAAGGCAGGCGGTGGAGGAGGTGGGGGGAAGGGGCCCTGCGCAGTTCTGGCGGGAACGTGAGTTACGAGGCCTCTGCAGAAAGCACCGCGGAGCTTCCTCGGGAAGTCGAGACCAGAGCCACCGTGCGACCCAGAGTCCTCCTCCTGGGTAGTTGTCCCAAAACTTTGGAAGCGGTTATTTGTAAAGACGCATGTACCCCCGTAACTGCTGCAGCAGCGTTCACAGTGGCCAGGACGTGGAGACGACATAGGCGTCCTCGGTGGGCGGGCGGGTGAAGAAGGCGTGGTGTGTGCTCGCAGGGGCTGCTGCCCGGCCGTCCAGAGCGAAGGCAGACCGCCGATTGTGACAGTACGGGGGGGGGGGGGTCTGGAACGCCCGTGCTGAGTGAGATACGGCAGGTGGCACGGGACAGCCACGCGTGACTTCACTCACGCAGGATGTAAGATAGAGAACAGCCCACCAACTCATAGACACAGGCAACAGTGTGGGGACTACCGGGGAGAAGGGAGGGGGGGCAGGGAAGAGGGTAAAGGGGTTGGATAATGGTGACGGGGGGCTCGGCTTTGGGTGGTGAGCACCCCGTGCTGTGTACAGATGACGCATTCGAATTACATGCCTGAAGCTTATCTGATGTTATTCACCAATGTTACCTCAGTAAGTTCAATTAAACTAGAAGGTGCACAGTCTTATCTTCGTGGCTCACATACTGTGTTCCATTAATGTTGGAAGGGGAAATGTTTCATCAGATTCTGGCAGCTCCTCGTTCTGAAAGAAACACACCCCAAACGAAAGGCTTCCTCTTCTTCAAGGAATCGGTAATTTGCACCGAATCACGTAAGGCTTTTGTTTTGGCAGATACGAAAAGAAGGGAGAGGCAGATACAGCCCAGACCAGCTGTGCGTTCTCGACAATGTGAAGATGAACCTGAGAAGGTTTGTTGCTTATCAGGAGACGGTTCACAGGAGGCTGACTGCCTGAGCCGCTGGGCGCGAGCAGTCCTCCCCCGAAGTGCACGGAAGGGCTTCCTTTAAGTGGGCACGTGGAGTCCACTTCTTATGTCTCTGTCCTGTATGTTCATTTGAAGCTCTAAGAACTTCAAAACCTGTCAGAAACACTTTTTTAGGCTCTGGGGTCTAAGCGCCATTTCGGGTGCTTTCGGAATTCACGTTCCCAGCACCTTTAAATCACTGGAAACACGCAGCGGAGACACGGGGGGTCTCAGGTGGCTCTTGAGAGCAGTGAGGAAACTTCCGAGCAATCATACTTTTCTTAAATCCGCCCCCCAAAAGGAAGTCTAAAGCATTGCTCAGATACTCTTTTAGGTCAATATCATTTTATATTAGCTGAATTTTTAACTGAAAGATGAAGACAAGCTTTATAAAATTAAACACATGCCAATTATGTTTACCTTGTACAAAGTGATGAATTTGTATTTCATTCTGAAGTAAAATACACAAATGAGCTAATGAAGTTCCTGTCGTACTCTGTACAAACAGTTCTGATTGTTTTGCAATCTGATCTATTGTTTTGTAATCTCCCTCCTATTGAATTTGATATGGAGTCAGAATTGGGAGGGAATATTTTTTAATAAATAACTTTTTTATTGAAAGCTTTGTGTCTTACAAAACCTCCTTAAACAATATCAGATAGTTCTTTTCCTGGGCATTTGCTTGCTGATGGATGTTGCTTTGAATACGTGTGAGACCCTCAAAACCATATGGACAGCAGGGTCTCCGGCGTTACTCTCAGGGACCTTGAGGCCTTGGGAACTGCAAACCCGCGACCAAGAGAAGGAAAGGGAACGTACAGAGGGAAGGAGAAGCAGACCATGTTCAAGGGCGGGGAGGTGACATACTTCCCAACTGGTCTGTAGATGCAGGGCAGTCCCAGTCCCAATCCCAGCAGAATTATCTGTAGAAACTGACGAGCCGACTCTCAAATTATGTGGAAAACAGGATTTAAAGTACCTGAAACAACTTCTAGAAAGAACAGAGTTGGAGAACTTCCACTCCTGATTTGAAACTTGGCAGAAAGCCAAGTCACCGGGGCAGCGCGGCATCACTCGGGGAAGGACATGGAGGGGATCCGGGGAACGCGCTGGGAGTCCAGAAACAGACCTGTACTCGCGTGGTCAGCTGCTTTCCCACCAAGGTGTGGGGTTAATTCAGTGGAGAAACAGTAGTCTTTCTAGTAAGTGGTGCTGAAATAACACCTGTGGGACAAGACCCAGTATTCTAGAGCCAAGGCTACATGCAATCGGACACTTGGCTAACCCACCGAGCGCATCCTCAACTGCCGCTGACTGCTTTCCTGAGCGCGTGAAGGGGACATGCACGGAGACTCGGTGTGGTTTGGCGCCGGTGGTGGCTCACACCAGCTCTGGCGGTTCCACCCAGCTGTGGCCGGTGCGCCTGGAGGACCGGGGCAGCGAGTAACATTTCAGGGGAAAAAAAACAAAACAGAAAAACACCTTTTACCTTGTGGAGCCCTGCGGAAGGACCCATGGAATACGCTTGGAGAGTAACTGGTCTAGAAAGGTGGAAAGAACGAGAGGGTGGAAACGAGGCCTGGCAGAGACGTGGAGCGGAAAGGGCTGGAGGGAGGGCGAGGCTGGAAGGAAGCAAAGAAAACACGCGAGAGGCGGGACAGAAACCAGAGGAAGGCGACTTCGGAGAAAGCTGCAGGGAAGGGCCGAGGGTGCGGGGTCTGCAGGTTGAGACCCCCTGTGAGGAGCCGTGAGTAACGTGCATTGATTTGGTGACGTGGCCACCCCCGGGGACAAATGTAAGCATTATTTCCATAAGGACTATTTCTGTGGTGAGATCAGGAAAGAAGTCAGGTTGGAGGGAGTTGGGGCATGAGAGGTGAGGAAGTGAAGCTGGTGACGAGAAACCAGGATTCAGAGAAGGTCGTGAAGGGGAAGGAGACCAGGCAGTGGCTGAAGGAGGGAGTGACAATTGTTAGGTCACTACGAGTGGGTGATAGAGCGTAGAGCAGAAGGCCACTCCAAGGTGGCTCCTGTTTTCCAGCTCATGGAATTAACTGGCTGGAGGTCTGTTCGTTGAGACTGGAACAGGGTCCCAGGCAGATGGAACATACCTGCGCTCTGGGCAGAGGAAGCACTCACCTAGGAAATCTTCATTTCCTCTTGAGGAAGTTGGCCCAACCTCCTCCATCCTGCTGCCTGTCTGTGGGTAACACGCACGCACCTCAAGTTTGACCGTGTCCCTATTCTTTCTGTCTCGTCCCTTCTTTGAGCGAAGAGTGCACGCTAGTTTTTACTGTTCAACCAGGGGGAAAAAAAGCTTTATATAGTGGAAGATTTTCATATTTTCCCATGTTCAAGAAGTTTATATCTTTAAAACTATTTTGGTTTGCTTAATTGAGCAATTCCTTATTCTAATGAACAGAATTAACTCAAGTTGTTTTTTTCTAGGCAGAGTGAGGAATCATAAGCAAGTGGTTTCCAGTATTTGCTCATATATTTTTACCCTGCCTAGTTTTTAAAAATATATATTTTATTAATTATGCTATTACAGTTGTCCTATTTCCCCCCTTCATTCCCCTCCACCCTGCACACCCCTCCCCCACCATTCCCCCCTTTAGTTTATGACCACATGTCTAAGTTCTTTAGATTCTATATTTCCCATACTATTCTTAGCCTCCCCCCTGTCTATTTTCTACCTACCGTCTATGTTACTTATTCTCTATACCTTCTCCCCACTTCTCCTCCCACTTTCCTGTTGCTAACCCTCCATGTGATCTCCATTTCTATGGTTCTGCTCCTGATCTAGCTGTCCTCTTAGTTTGCTTTTGTTCTAGGTGTGGTTGTTAATAACTGTGAGTTTGCTGTCCTTTCACTGTTCATCTTTTTTATCTTCTTTTTCTTAGATAAGTCCCTTTAACATTTCATATAATAAGGGCTTGGTGATGATGAACTCCTTGAATTTGATCTTATCTGAGAAGCACTCTATCGCCCTTCCATTCTAAATGAAAGCCTTGCTGGATAGAGCAATCTTGGATGTAGGTCTTTGGATTTCATGACTTGGAATACCTCTTTCCAGCCTCTTCTTGCCCGTAAGGTCTCTTTTGAGAAATCAGCTGACAGTTTGATGGGAACTCCTTTGTAGGTGACTGTCCCCTTATCTCTTGCTGCTTCTAGGATTCTCTCCTTCATTTTAATCTTGGCTAATGTAATGATGATGTGCCTTGGTGTGTTCGTTCTTGGGTCCAACTTCTTTGGGACTCTCTGAGCTTCCTGGATTTCCTGGAAGTTTATTTCCTTTGCCAGATTGGGGAAGTTCTTCTTTATTATTTGTTCAAATAAGTTTTCCACTTGTCGCTCTTCCTCTTTCCCTTCTGGTACCCCCGTTATTCAGATGTTGGAACATTTAAAGATGTCCTGAAGGTTCCTAAGCCTCTCCTCATTTTTTTGAATTTTTGTTTCTTCATCCTTTTCTGTTTGGTCATTTTTTTTCTTCCTTCTGGTTCACTCCCTTGACTTGAGTCCCAGTTTCCTTCCATTACTATTGGTTTCCTGTGTATTTCCCTTCATTTCAATTAGTTTAGCCTTCATTTGTTCCTCTAATTTGTAACTAAAATCAACCAGTTCTGTGAGCATCCTGATCACCAGTGTTTTGAACTGTGCATCTGAAAGTTTGGCCATTTCTTGGTCACTTAAGAGTTATTGGCTCTGGGGCTTTGAGATCTTCTTGAGCCATAATGTTTTGGTCTGTTCGCACCTGTTATGTATGAGGAGAGGCGCCTTAGGTGTTCACCAGGGTGGGGCTGCCCAGGTCGCTGGGTTGTGATGCTGTACGTGGGGGCGGGGTCAGAGAGGGACGATAGCAGTCCCCTCTGCTGCTTCCCGCCACTGGGGCCTGCGCAGTCTGTCTCACTGCTTGCTCCTTCGCTGGTTTATCAATCTGGCTGAATGGTTTGTTGTCGGACTTCCATATAGTTCAATTTTCTGTGTTTTGGTTGCGTTTTTGTTACTAACACTTTGTTGTTTGTAAATTTGGTTGTGCGAGGAGGCACAGTATTTCCACCTATGCCTCCATCTTGGCTGGAAGTCTATCCTGCCTAGTTTTACATAGGCAATCGGATTGTGAGAACACAGTTGCCTTACAATGTTCACATTTTCAGCGACGTCTACCCACCCATGAAAAGGACAGGCTCTTTTCTTAAAGGAGAAATACTTAAACTTACTCAGGTAAACGAGGACGAAGTGAAGTGTTTTTTGAATGACTGCTGTGGACGTAAAGGAACGGGCGGGGTCTGTTCTGAGGCCTGGCGGCAGCGGAGGAACCTCGCCAGGCCGACCCAGCGGCGCCTGCCTCTCTTCCTGCTGTGTCTCAAAGACTCGTACGTACCCAAAGTCAGCAATGTTTAAGATCGTTACATTCTTGAAAACACTGGCAGTTACTTTCATTAAAATTTACCCATGAATTAGCGCCTTTCACAATTTATTTAAATAACATGATCAGCTGGCGAAAAGAAATGAGAGATGGAAGTACTCACTTCGGTCTTTAACTCCGAATGGGAAGGTAAGTAAGTTCTGGAAATCGCAGATGGCGTTTTCCATTGTTCTCTCGGCAGAAGTTCTGTTTCCTTTGTGTGTTTTTAAATTATGTTTACTAGCACTGGCTGGTGCGGCTCAGTGGATAGAGCGCCAGCCAGCCTGCCGACCAAGGGGTCACCTGGTTCAACTCCCAGTCGGGCACATGCCTGGATTGCGGGCCAGGCACCCAGTTGGGGACACACGAGGGGCAACCACACATGGATGTTTCTTTTTCTTCCACCCTTCCCCTCTCTAAAAATAAGTAAATAAAATCTGAAAAGAGTAGTAAAGTAAAACTATGTTTACTAAAACAGATAATACATGTGTATGATAAACAATGAAAGCCAGAAGTTGGGCTTTGGAAGTTTTTCCGCCTCCCAGTTCCTCTCCCAGAAGTGCCCCTACCAGCTCTGGGTGGCCCTTCCAGAGACGATGTCTGGACGTCTGCGTAGTGAAGCACGCACTTGTTTCCCTCTCCCGTCTGGTCACAAACAAATGGTGTGTCCTGTTCATGCTGTTCAACGCCTTGACGTTGTGGGTTGATACCCCGGAGACACTCCTGTATTGGTACATGGGGAACTGTCCCCACACTTTCAGCAGCTCCACAGAACTCCACTAAAGGGTCACAAGCATTTTTTTTTAAGAGAGAGAGGGGAAGGGAGGAAGAAAAGGATAGAAACTTCTAGTCAAGAGAGCAACATCCATCAGCCGCCTCTCAGCTGAGCCCGTGACCCAGCATGCGCCCTGACCCGGAATCAACCCTCGGGCTTTTGCTTTGTGGCCCAAACGACCAAGCCACCCCGGTGGGGGCTTGGAACCATAGTTTAATGAGCCTCCCCTAAGAGAGGGAGGCAGCTCTTCACACAGGTCTAGAGCTCAGACCCTGGGGCCAGGAAGCCTGGGTTCGAGTTCCGACTCTCCCTCTTGGTGTTACCTTGGACTTCATCTCTCTTCCTCTTGTTTTTCTTCTTGAAAGAGGGAAGATGACATCAGCCACTTACGAGGTTTGTTGTTGAGGGTTGAAGGAGTTCATGTCCGCGTAGCCCAGA